CTTGACTATGAAGTGTCCACGCTTCACGGAGCACAGGCGGACATGCCCGGCATTCCTGTGGGCGATTATTACCCAGAAATCAAGAGCCGACAAACTGCTGCTGACACCAGTGGTCTTTAGCTGGTCACCTTTCCCCCTGACACCAACGTGAACTTCACCTCTTCAGCCTCTCGCTCCGATACGTCATGCAGTGGCTTTTGATTACCGTTCTGTCTGGAATATACAGTGCACGTGTAAATAAGCCACACCAGCAACATTTGAAAAGATAAATGACGTGTACCATACAGTAGATGTTCATGTTGTGATATAGCAGATAGATGACTGTTTTAAGGATTTACAGGATCTAATGATGAGGTGTTAAACAGCTTAACCGTTAGCTTCCGTGCTAAGTAATTAAGTAAGTAATCTTTATTCATATAGCGCCTTTCACAGACCAGAGTCACAAAGCACTTTACAATTGTTGTGGGCATTTTTCTCTCACTCCACACAGAGATGGGAGTGAGGTCGCTGTACAGAAAATGCATGCCAGACCTATTGTACATGTTTTTAGTGGTAGGGGAAACCGGAGCACCGGAGGAAACCTACGCAGTTACAGGGAAAACATCCAGATGGAATGTGGTACTCATTCATCTTTTCTTTTGACAATAAAGTGTCCTAAAAATAATGGAGTCATAACATTCAGTCCATGAACTGTGCTCTGACAACAGCCTAACTCTACCACACTAAACATTCACACGTATTAGCCGCACCACTATATAAGCCGCAGGTACAAAAAGTAGCGGCTTATAGTTCCGATATTATGGTATATTGTGTTGACAGCTGTAGCTTGTGATCTGTATATTGGAGGTATGTGAGGTAATAACAGAACATACCCACTGTGATACAAAAAAATATAGAAGCATTGATGGATTTTTTATCCTGAAACAATTAATATAATTGCTATATTATATATTATATAATTATAATACGACACTCAAACATGGCCATTTTGGAGGACCAGAAATGTTTGTCTGTGATTATCATATATATCTAACGAACATTGATGACAAGAGGTTAATATGGGCGTGATAACCCTAACCCTAAGTCGTCTTTGCAATAACAAGCCCTGAAGTACAGTAGTTGTTAATTTGCCAACACTTTTATACAGTCTAAAAATATCTTTCTGTCCCCTAACCAGCTCTGATTTTAGGAATACAGCCCCAAACCAACACCTCAGCCCTAAGCCCTTTACAGAGCATTAGTCATTTGTTTAATTAGCTACTGTAGCCCCAGTTGCCCTGGAGCAGACTGGTGGGTTAATGTATCATCGGACTTTCTTCCCACCACATTCACTCACATACCAGATTCAGACGCAATGTTTTAACTTAATGAAACTTAACCCTTTAGCGCAACGGTTGTCCCACTGTGGCAACAAGAATTGTCTGAAAAAGTGTATAATTTTTTTAAGTAATTTTTATCTTTTACTGACAAAAATGCCTGAACTTTTTCACAATATTCTAATTTGTTAAATATATTCCTGAGGTTACTTAGTAAGCATTAGAGTTTTCAAAGCTACTTGACAGAAAGCAAGAAGGACTTAAATGGAGCACAATGGTCTGGTTGTTAAATTGTTGTTGGAAAACTGTCCTAATTTCTTTTTTTCTTGCCGAGTTAATCTGAGTTTATTGGACAAAACATACGCAATCAGTATGTTTTGCGTCCTTGAATGACCCAAACCCGGCAGATTTGGTTTGTTCGGTTTTGTTTGGTTTATTGGTTTAAATTTGGGGAAGCCTTGTCCATTGAAGGAAATGCCTGAGTTTATGTTGCTGTTGATACTAAGAGCCAGTTTACAACAACAATAGAGCCTTGGCTTTCGCAGCTCGTGCAGCCCAAGAATCTCACGTTGGATATTTACCATGGCACAAAACGTTCCCCATCTTTCTCTGTGGTGCCAGACTCAGACCCAGACGTTCGCTATTTCCTTTCCTCTCACTCACGTGCACTCCAGCCGCCGTGATTCAATCAGGCTGTGAGAGAGCAGGGCTTCTCTGTAGGTTAAATCTGCCGCCATGAATCAGAAGAAGGGGTTTTCCTGTAAATGAAATCAGCCCTGTCGTCGCTGTTATTCATTTTGTCACGTCAGCAATAGAAATGTAATCCAAGCTTGGTTCATAGAGTTTGGGGGATTGCAATCTGTAATTTGAAAACAATAGAGGGCAAATAAGTTATGTATAGGCAAGACAAGTTTATTTTTATAGCACAGTTGAGCCAGAAAGCCACTTGAAAACATTCTGATTATAGGACTAGGAAATAATGTTTCCTCATTAAAAAGAGACATTTACAAATATCCGGTTTCATTTTGTATGTAGTTACTGCTCTGGTTGTCATGTTTCTTAAAGGGACAGTATGAATATTCACTCTTCGTGGTCTAAGATAGTCAATACAATTACAATCTTTTGTTGCCAGAATCTTCCTGCCTGTGACACATGTAGCTCCCAAGCACAGATGCAAACCACCTGCTGGGGCTTAGATAAAAGCTGTACAATATCTGTGTTTTATATATGACAGCTTATTTTTGTACCTGTATTCTTTCATTTAAACAAATGTGTGGTGCTATTTTTGTGTGTGAATATTGTTGTTTAGAATAAAAAGACTAGAGATGGGGGCAAGACCAGCTAAATAAACTGGCAACCCAAATGAGAGACTCATTCTACTCTCTGATTGGATAATCTGCTTGAAAATTGTTACACTCAAATATTATCACCACATTAAGGGGCGTTCACACCGGACTTAACTTCGGCGTCAAAAGCGTCAGGTTTCCATTGAAAGTGAATGGTGAAGCGCGTCAGGTGAAGCCGAGAGCCCCGGCGTCACTTGACGCGCGTCAAAAGCTTCAAGAGTCCGCGCGTAATACGCGCTCACTTGAAGCTTTTGACGCGCGAAACGCTCGCGTATCACAACAATCCCTCTGACGCCGAAGCTGAGCAAAGCTGAGCTTTTGAAGCTTTGACGCGGGCTTCAACCAATCAGGAGACGAGGAGCAGCAGCAGCAGAGGGTCTGTCTCTGTCATGAAGAGAAGTCATGCTGCTGCTGTTTTATTGTCATTATTGTTATTAGTAATATTATTTGTATGAGTAGTAACGTTCTGAGTAACAAAATCATTGTACACATGCTGTGTAGTAAACGTAGTTTATTTAAAATAAGAACAGGCTGACGATGAGTCTGGCTCAGAGCAAGGCAGCTCCGGGCGGGCGAGAGCCGGGGAGAGGCAGGGAGAGCCGGGGAGAGGCGGGGAGAGGCGAGCGAGAACCGAGGAGAGGCAGGGAGAGGCAGGGAGAGGCAGGGAGAGGCAGGGAGAGGTGAGCGAGAACCGAGGAGAGGCAGGGAGAGGCAGGGAGAGGCGAGAGCCGGGGTTTGAGAACTCAGACTGGGCAAGTGACATGCGGAAGTACCGCTGAAAGCGAAACTCCTCCGTACGCAGCTCCTGGAGTAAATGACGGAACTCTGCAAACACTGCAGCCTCTCAAGTCTGTGGTGAACCCAGAACATGTTTTGTTGAAGCCCTACAACAACGTTATTTTGCTTTATATAACAAATAAAGGCTCGCTGCTCATTGAAAAATCCACCGCTGTCCTGACTACAGGCAACAGAGAAGCTCCTCCCACCGGCGTCAGGCGCGTCACTCGCGTCAAAAGCTTCAAGCACCAAAATGACAAAACTATCCCGGCGTCAGTTGAAGCGCGTCAAAAGCTTTTTGAAGCTTTTGGTCTGAACGCGCCTTTAGTCCGGTCCTCAGGTCTCTGCACTGGCTTCCCGTGGCCCAGAGGATAGACTTTAAAGCAGCTCTCCTGGTGTACAAGTCTCTCCATGGCCTTGCACCAAAGTACATCCATGATATGCTAGTCCCATATGAACCAGCCCGGACTCTGAGGAGCGCAGGGACGGGACTCCTGTTAGTGCCCAGAGTCAGGACTAGACAGGGGGAGGCTGCTTTTCAGATCTATGCAGCTAAAGTCTGGAACGGTCTTCCTGAGGATGTGAGACTGGCTGCCTCTCTGTCAATGTTCAAATCCATGTTAAAGACTTTTCTTTTTTCCCGTGCATACAACTAGAGAATTTTATCTTTTTAACACACCTTGTTATTTATTGTTGTAACTTTTTGTGTTTTTAACTATTTTATTGTTTTTAATTACTTGTGTGATTTTTATGTTTTTAAATTACTTATGTGATTTTAATGCTTTTTAATTACATATGTGTTTTTAATTGTATTTTAATGGTGATGATTTGTGCATTGTGTGGTGTGGACTGTGAGGCGCTTTGTGTTGCCCTGTGCAGGAAAAGCGCCCTATAAATAAAGATTGATTGATTGATTGATTGATTATTAACATCATGTCCATTGTATTTTTAATCAGTAATTACTCTAGTTTTATATTTGGGATCATATAAAAGATACAAGGGAAATATTGCATACTGTCCCTTTAAGTTCATACATGTTGGTGTCTATGAAATTAGTTTTGATCAAAAATACGATTTAATGATTGGTTGCAGCCTTAGTTCATAACGCTTTTGTATATTTTTGTATTTAACAATATCTTGCATTATATTTTCAGGAGGAATTGGTTTCATTGCAAATAAAAAGTCCTTCCTTGCAATAAAAACGCATTATAATCTCTACCAGAATGTTACATATTGTGCTCTTAAAGACATGCTTGTATACAGTATTTCACTTAATTAAAAGCCACTATTGTTATAAATGTGAAATATAGCCTCCAATAATGCCTTTGCTCACTGTTGTGGTTAATTGAAGCCCGAGCAATGGAATAAATAAAATATTGTGTTTTATATAGTTAGTAATAAAACAAAGTGCTGTACAGTATGTTAAATAATCTTTGCACTTCTCAGTCTTAAATCAAATGTTTTTTTCTCTCCTGCTTTCTTCTCCCAGGCCGCTGGCATCACACAGACACATTTTTGGAGAGCTGCTTGATAGACCACCAAGTCCACAAGCAGCGGCGCCATGAGTAAGTCTTCTGAACCGTGATGTGAGACAGACATCCCGTGTTTCCCTCTGACCGCAGATAAAGCAAGATACATTTATGCTGGAAATGGAAAATAAACTGGAATAAAAATCAACAGGAGAGATACGCATTATATAACCTCATAAGATTTTAATGTCTGATGAGATTTAGGGCGAAAAGATAATTAAGTTGTTGTTTGTCATTGCTGGGCTGGGAAATGTATAAGATTCTTTCATTTACTTTCAACCATCACTCTCCAAAGCAAAAGCAATCATTTTAGGTACAGATCAGAGTCAAACAGGAAATGCGATAATAACAAACACATAAGAGCCATTGGTCCATAGGATGACCAATGTCCATAAATATTAATTAATGTCCATAAATGTCAGTTGGTAGAGCATTGGCCTTTGAGCCTGAAGGTCGTGGGTTTGAGAGCCCCCATGAGAGCTTCTCCACCGACTCCCACTGATGACTGCTGTCGTTGTGTCCTTGGGCAAGACACTTAACCCCACTTTGCCTGAAGCTCCTGCTGAAAGATCAAGGCTATGCCATAGAGCAGCCAGCCTCCTGTGGACTCACCACCTGCATGAGGATCAGTGAGGTGCTGGTGCTTTGTTTACTGGGTGGCATCTCTGGCCACCCCCCTGACCCAGAAATGGATAAAGGGGTAGAAAGTGGATGGATGGACAAATGGATGTCCATAAATGTCCTGGGTCATCACTGTCCTTAGACCGTCCTGCATCGACAACAAACATAGGACAGAGTTGGTGGAAGATTTGTATTTCTTCTTAAAGGACATCAAAATCCTTATTGTAGGTTAGACGTTACTTTTCACAAAACACAGACATTATTATTATGTTATATTTAAGTTTTCTAAATTTCATTCCAGTTTGACTATAATTATATATTAAAAGAATATGCTTCGCGGTTATAAATCAGGACATCGCAGACAAGCATCCATCCATCCATTCATCCATTTTCTTCCGCTTTATCCGTTGCCGGGTCGTGGGGGTAGCAGTCTAAGCAGAGACGCCCTGACTTCCCTATCCACACACACTTCCTCCAGCTCGTCCGGGGGGACCCCAAGGCGTTCCCAGGCCAGCTGAGAGACATAGTCTCTCCAGCGTGTCCTAGGTCTTCCCCGGGGCCTCGTCCCAGTGGGACGTGCCCGGAACATCTCCCCAGGGAGGCGTCCAGGAGGCATCCGGAACAGATGCCTGAGCCACCTCAACTGGTTCCTCTCGACGTGGAGAAGCAGCGGCTCTACTCCGAGCTCCTCCCGTGTGACTGAGCTCCTCACCCTATCTCTAAGGGAGCGCCCAGCCACTCTGCGGAGGAAGCTCATTTCGACCGCTTGTATCCGCGATCTCGTTCTTTCGGTCATTACCCAAAGCTCATGACCATAGGTGAGGGAGGGAACGAAGATTGACCGGTAAATTGAGAGCTTTGCCTTTCGGCTCAGCTCCCTCTTTACCACAACGGTCGGATACAGCGACCGCATCACTGCGCACGCTGCACCGATCCGCCTGTCAATCTCACGCTCCATCCTTCCCTCACTTGTGAACAAGACCCCGAGATACTTGGACTCCTCCACTTGAGGAAGGACCTCTCCAGGTGCCTTGCCCTGGAGAGGGCAAGGCACCTTTTTCCGGTCGAGCACCATGGCCTCGGATTTGGAAGTGCTGATTCTCATCCCAGCCGCTTCACACTCGGCTGCAAACCGCCCCAGTGCATGTTGCAGGTCCTGGTTCGTTGGAGCCAACAGACAAGCAACCATGCAATAAACTCCTCCCATGTTCACAGAAAATATACTAAATTAAAAGAATAAACTCTAGTAAAGTGAATGATTTAAGTGAAAAAGGAAATATGTGTCTGTTGTAAATCTCCTGAGTATTATTTACATTACGCATATATATATATTTAAAATGGGAGTCACAGCACCAGATAAAATAGAAAAAACATTTAAAAAACTGCCATATGAACCATTACAACCTATCAAATGCAAACCTGGAGTTGTTCTTTATCTTCATCCGCGCTAATGTGAGGAATGAGCACAAACTCCATCTATATGGTCCATCATCTGTGACATTGTGCCAAATCTTGTTAAAAATGTATTGTCCCCAAATGTGTTGAGTATTTCTGCAGTATTTCTGTCTACATTACAACTGAAACTTACATTATATTTAATCAATGAATCAACCAATCATTTAAAACGGTTTAAGATTACCAAAGTGCAGGACAGACAAGAGAAAAACAAAAAATAAAAAAAATATGCATGTACACAATTCATAATTAAAAATGTTGTTTGCTGATTTTTTTATAATAAATCAGTCACAGTATATAGATCTTTCCTATATGTCTCTGACCTTTTGTAAGTCTTATGTTCAAACTTAGATCCGTCTAATTATGTATTTTGATTTTGCAATACTCTTAGTTGTGTTCTAAAACCCGCACTGTGGATCTGAACCTTGATTTGAAAAACAAAAAATACAATCCACAATGTTCCCCAAGCACGGCCCTTCAACACTAGTTTTGTCTGGAGAGTCTGGGGAGCTCCCTGCTGCCCCGGGGCCTGTGATGTCTCTCCAAACAACACACAAGGAATATTTACTGTCTGAACTTGCCCGAGCAGTATCGGTGCAGTGATTCAGCAAGTCTCCAAATACATTTTAACAACAGGGCCTATTGTTTCATGTATGAACTGTGTGAAGACTTTCTGGTTGTTTTTTCATGTCTGCAGAAATATACAGTTGTGTTTGAAAGTTTACAGATTGTCAGTGGTGATCTGAAGCCAGTTATTGTCAGCTAAACCTGCAAAAATCATGGACTGAATTACAATATTATTCTTTCAAGCAATGCTTGGATAGAATAAAATACAGTTTGTTGATCACATGAATTTTGAAGCGCAAATGTGCAAATGTGAGGCTCTACTTGTTGCCACAGATAAGCCTTATATGGTGGCACCCGGGTTTTGGTTTCCATTTATGGCCGGTTCCACATACAGTATGTTCTCATATCAAACAAAAACAAATAAGCAAAACCAAGACTATTTTTTAGTTTTACTTCTTAAAAACAAAAATTTCGGAGAATAAAAGCGGTCGCATTACGCAGCCCTGATTTCAGTCCGCCGATATGCTGCTCACAGCTCATGTTGCGTCCCTAGATGAACGGCAGGCGCTCCACTCCATCATGAAGGACCTGGTGGCTCTGCAGATGACTCGTCGACAGCCGCTGTTGACTTACGATGTCGGAAAACCAAAACTCCGAGCTCAAGTCAACAGACAGGTGAGAGGCTGGCAACGGGAGGGTGAAACAGACACGGATTGAAACTCTGCACATGTGAAAAGCAGGAGCAGAGAGTGCATTGAAAACAAATATTGATAGAAGACAAAAGAAGAGACGTGTGAATGTTATGACATCAAGTTTGAGGAAGCACACACATGGAGATTTGCAAAACCTCTGCTGCATCAGCTCCTTCTGCAGCCTATTTCCTGGAGCAAACCAACCTGCAAAGTGCATCAATTAAACAGTACATACATTAAAACACTAGACTCTAGATTATAGTCATGTATTTTTTCTTTCCCCAGGTTTATGGTTAGGGTTGTATTGAAATTCCATAGATCTACCGTGGCTTGGTTCTATTGTTGGATTGGTTTAGTAAAGACTGTGGTGTAGATTTCTGAACTCTGATCTGCTCTCTAATGTAAGCTGATCTTGTCCATGCAATAAAGGATTACAGTTTTATTACTTTGGCCTTTTTTGGGTTAGCTTTGTGCTCAGTGTGTAATCTGGAAAGCCTCAAACACAATGGATAATCTATAGATTTTGAAAAGGGATGAGTCCTGATGGTTTTAGGCCAGGGATATATTCAGGAAGTCCTTAAACACCAGGGCAGTGTTTTTCTTGGTTCGTCAGTTGAGATTTTGACTGCAGACCACCACAGCAGTATGTAAATGTGAATGTTGCTAATGGTTCTACGTCATGGTGCTACGTCCCTTAGGACTTCGCTAGTGGGATATCACGTGACCCCCAGGTCACAGACGCCAGAGAGATCAAAATAATTTGCTCCAATCACCAGCCACCTTCCTCTATAAATGCCCCTGCACAAGGCCGCACCCCCTCTTTCACTCTGGCGCCGTGTGAGATCTACATTCATTACCTGAGAAAGAAAGATGTCTTCTGATGCACGTCCGAGTTCCCCTTCGCCATCCGGCGTCGGACGTCGTCGTTGCTCGACCTGTCGGGGCAAGCTCCAACGCAAGGACCAGCACTCCAGCTGCTTCATGTGCCTGGGTGCGGGCCATGCGGCGTTGAGCGCCACCTGCGCCTCGTGTGTCGCTCTCCCCAGGGAGGAGAGTGAACGCAGGCGCGCGTTCTTCGCCGCTTCAGCGCCCCGTCCGGACTCCTCTAAGGACGAGGAGTCTGAGGTTGACTGGGCCCCCCTCGACATTCCACCTGTGCCCGCGGAGTGGGGTGACTGCGAGGACGGAGAGGTGTCGGAGGTCGGCTCTCTCCTCACGCTGGACGAGGTGGTGTCCAACCCGGAGCCGGACCGCTTCCCGCTGGACCACATGCCTGGGCTCTACGCCACGGCGGCGGCCATCATGGATGCCCCCCTGCCACCGCAACCGAACCAGAGGGTGGAGGACTTCACCTCTGGGTACGCAGCTCCTCGAGGGAGGAGGAGAGCCCAGCCCACGTTGTGCCCGCGTATGGACCCGATCGTCCATTACGCGACACGTGAGTGGCCAAAACCCCTAGCGGCCAAGAGGCCCGCTTTGGGGTATGGCATGTACTGCAACGTGCAGGACTGGTCCTGGACAGGCGGGGTCCCGGACATCGAGGACTCGGTTCGGGCGGCCCTGCACCCCTCCTCATCCGTGTGGCCCAGCACCAGACCTCTCCTTCCCTCCGAGCGGGATAGGATGTCTCTGGCTATGCATGACAGATGTTACGCCAATGCGGCTCAGGTCGTCGCGGTGGCGAACAACATGGCTTTCATCACCGGGGCCCTGGATAGGTCTCTCTCCTCTGACCAGGCACTCAGTGGAGACACCTTAGCCCAGGCGAGGACCACTTCAGCAGCGATCTTGCGCATGTGCCAAGCGCTAGCTGTCGATGGCGGCCGCTCTATGGCAGCAGCCCAGGTCGGGGCCAGACACCTCTGGCTGGGGGCGGTGAACCTCAGAGAGGCGGAGAAGAGGCAGCTGCTGGACCTGCCCATCTCCCAGACGTCGCTCTTCGGTCCGGAGATGCAGACGCTGATGACGAGGCTGGACAGCGCGGCTAAGGACTCGGCTAGCCTGGCAAAACACCTAGCTACGAGACGCGAGGCCCGCCCACCAGCGCGGAGCCGAGACAGAGGCAGGGAGCGCTCGCCTGGCAAGCGCCCCGGACCATATCCACGCTCCGTGGTCCATCGTTCCCCAGCGGCGAGACCCCCGGGCCCAGACAGGCACACGGGAGGTTCGCGGGACCAACACACCCATCGACGGCCTCCCTACGGTAGAGGAGGTCGGGGTGGTAAAAACTCTTTCAATAAAGGCCGTCCGGCATTTCACCAGTACTCGCTGTCTGAGTCTCATTTGGGGGTATGTAACATGTCAAATGATTTGAATTCTGTTTGTGTTACTTCTCGAGCATATAACGTGGCTCCGCCAGGCCTGCAGCCCCCAGAGAAGGGCGTGCAGCGCGCTGTGCAGACCACGAGCTCCGATTCACGGGTTCATGTTTTGCCCTCCCGGAGAGAGGGCAGGCGGAGGGATCTGATAAGTGCTAATGTGTGTGCTCCGGGCGCTAGCGTGTTAGCATCTCTGAGCTACAAGGCTAACACGGGGTTTCCCAATCCAGGGGCTCTCCCCCCCCTCCTTGAGGCAAGAGCCAAGGGGGGGCGCAGCAGCCGTGTCACGCGTGATGAGCAGAGCTACATTGCTAACACGGGGTTTCCTAATCCAGGGGCTCTTCCCCCCCTCCATGAGGCAAGAGCCAAGGGGGGGCGCAGCAGCCGTGTCACGCGTGATGAGCAGAGCTACAATGCTAACACGGGGTTTCCCGATGCAGGGGCTCGCCCCCCCCTCCATGAGGCAAGAGCCAGGGGGGGGCGCAGCAGCAGCCGGGTCACGTGTGGTGAGCAGTCCCGTACTTATGACGTCGGACCTGCAGAACACGTGACCGCCCTCGGCGCTCACGGTGTGACGCAGGGGCCCCCCCGGCCCTTTCAGCCACCCCCCCTCCCTGCTAGGAACACCAGGAGGGGGCGGGGCCATGACGTCTCGTGTTCCAGCTCCCGTTCCGCCCCTCACAGATTTCTACGACATCTGGAAGGAGCAGGGCTTACTGTCAGATGTTTGGCTGGAGAAAACTCTGCGCAGAGGTTACGCTCTGCAATTTTTCCGAAAGCCACCACCATTCCGAGGCGTACGGGCAGTACGCTCTCAGGTACGGGGATCGACAGAGGCACTGGAAGCAGAGGTCTCCTCCCTGCTGAGTCGAGGCGCAGCAGTGGAGGTAGACCCGCAGGACGCCACCAGGGGGCTGTACTCCCCTTACTTTCTGGTGCCAAAGAAATCAGGCGGGGTGCGTCCCATTCTGGATCTGCGCGTGTTAAACGAGTGCATTTCCAAACGGCAGTTTCGGATGCTGTCCACAAGGCAGCTCCTCGAGTGTGTCAGGGAAGGAGACTGGATGACATCCATAGACCTGACAGACGCATACTTCCACGTACCCATAGTGCCAGAACACAGGAGATTTCTGCGCTTCGCAGTGGGAGAGAGGAATTACGAGTACTGCCGTCTCCCTTTCGGGTACGCTCTCGCGCCTCGCACTTTTTCCAAATGTGTGGAAGCGGCTCTGGAGCCGATCAGACGTGCCGGGGTAAGAATATTGACCTATATAGACGATTGGTTAATACTGGCCCCATCCAGGGAAGTGGCCGTGAGCCACACGCAATGGGTCTTGTCCCACATACAGCGTCTGGGCTTTGTGGTGAACAGGGAGAAGAGCAAGCTGCAGCCAGCCCAACGCATGATTTACCTCGGTCTGCAGCTAGACTCTGTGATATTCCGTGCTGCATTGTCCGTGGACAGACGGACGAATATTACCCGTCTGGCCCGGGAGGTTCTGGCGGGCCCCAGAGTTCCCGCTCGGCGCCTCAGGTCCCTGCTGGGGATGATGGCAGCGGCTCATGCTGTGGTGCGGCTAGGCCTGCTCCACATGAGAAATTTTCAGAGGTGGTTCTCGCGCCTCAGGCTTCACCCCTCCCGGGACGGGGGGAGGCTGATCTGGGTTCCCCAAGGGGCAGCATCGGACATCAGGTTCTGGCTCACTCCGGGTCTACTGCGGGACGGAGTGACTCTGGCCTGCGCGGTGTCTCACGCCGAGGTGTTCACGGACGCGTCGCTCGAAGGATGGGGCGGGGTCCTCGGCCAGAGCTCTGTAGGAGGCTGCTGGTCGGACTCAGCCCGTCACATCAACCTGCTGGAGATGGAGGCAGTGCACAGAGTACTGCTGCACTTTGCCCCTCAGCTGCAGGGGAGACACGTGATGGTGCGCTCAGACAACACCACAGTGGTCTCCTATCTGAACAGGCAGGGGGGCACCAGGTCCCCCGCTCTCCATCGCATGGCGACGGTGACGCTGCTGTGGGCGGCGCTTCACCTCCTGTCTCTCAGGGCGCGCCACGTCCCGGGGGTCCGGAACGTGGGAGCCGACAGGATGTCCAGGGGGGGCCCACTCCAGGACGAGTGGGGCCTGGCCCCACGGGTAGCCGCGGAGATCTGGCGGAGGTTCGGTCGTCCAGTAGTCGACCTTTTCGCCAGTGCAGAGAACGCACAGTGCCCGTCCTGGTTCGCCTTAAGGGCCGCGGACGAGCCGCCTTTAGGCGTGGACGCTCTGGCTCATTACCCATGGCCAGGCGGCCTGTTGTACGCTTTTCCACCGGTGCGTCTCCTGCCGGTCCTACTGCGGAGGATCGAACAGGAGAGGAGGTCGGTGATTCTGGTGGCTCCGGACAGCCCGCATGCCCGGTGGTTCCCCTTCCTGAGGGGCATGGCGGTGATGGAGCCCTGGGCCCTCCCGGACGAGCCGGGGGCTCTAGTCCAGGGGGCAGGAGCCCTGTTTTCACGTCCGATAATCGGCCGCAGGCTCTGGGTTTGGAGGTTGAGAGGCGGAGCCTCGTAGATCTGGGTCTTCCCCCTGCGGTGGTGGAGACAATTCAGGGAGCGAGGGCGCCGTCCACCGTGAGGGCCTACGCCACGAGGTGGAGGCTATTCAGTGCCTGGTGCGATTCCCGTTCCTGGGATCCCAGGTTTTGCCCGCTGGAGGGGGTCCTGGGATTCCTACAGGAGTTTTTCGACAAGGGGAGGGCTGTCGCTACCTTGGCGGTGTTTGCGGCAGCCATTACTTCAGGTCACGACGGGTTCGGGGGGTTCACAGCCCGCTCTCACCCGTTGATTAAACGTTTTCTGCGGGGGGCGCGCAGGAGGAGGCCCCCGCTCCAGAGAACGCCTCCGGTTTGGGACCTCAGGGTGGTCCTTAGGGGGCTGTCGGGTTCGCCTTTTGAACCGGCGGCGGAGGCGAGTCCCGATTGTATCGCTTTTAAGACGGCCCTCTTGCTGGCGTTGGCGTCTGCAAAAAGGGCGGGCGATTTGTGTGCGCTCTCAGTCCATGCGTCGTGCCTGTTCTTTGGAGAGGACGACGGCATGGTGGAGTTGTGGCCCAATCCGGCTTTTCTCCCCAAGGTCATCACGTCGGCCTTTAGGTCGAGAGTGATCAGGATTAGGGCTTTCCACCCGCCGCCGCATGCCTCCCCCGAGGAGGAGCGGCAGCACCTTCTGTGTCCTATCAGAATGCTGAGGCATTACCTGGCCATGACGTCGTCATTCAGGTCGGGTGATCAGCTGTTTGTGTGTCTGGGCCCCAAGAACAGGGGCGCCCCGCTGTCGGCTCAGCGGCTGGCGCATTGGGTCGCCACGGCGGTGCGACGGGCGTATCAGGCGCAGGGCCTGGCCCCCCCGGTGGGTTTCAGGTCGCATTCCACGCGTGGGATGGCGGCCTCTACGGCCCTTCTCAGGGGGGCGTCGGTCGAGGACGTTTGCCGTGCGGCTTCTTGGGCGTCGTCCTCCTCTTTCGTCCGGTCTTATCTTTCGGATGTGTCGGACCGGTCGGTGGCCCATTCCGTGCTGAGTGCAGCGGATTGAGTTGGACCGTTGGGTCCCTCCCCTGAGGAGTGGGCCTTCGGTCTATTTTTCCGCCCTGGTGCAGGAGCTCTTGGGAGAGGCATCCTACAGGTGCGGTACATATATGCAGGCCCGTCCTAAGGGCTGTGCGACCTGTGCCGTCGCACAGGGCCTCGCACCACACAGGGGCCTCGCAATCTTCCTTCCTTTTATTTTATTTTATAAATACACTAGTTCAAGGGTCCCCAAAGGGCAGACTGCACTCCAAATTTGGAACCCTAAACCCCTTTCTCTGGACCTCTTTGATTTCGTTTGATCAAAAGAACATTTTTACAAGTAAAGTCAAATTTTCACCAAAAGCGATTTGTAAACAGGCAGGCGCGCGGGCAGCTATGTATGCAGCGGGTCCTCCGAAAAAACTGTCAGATAACTTTAGCAGTGTCTGAGTGAGATACAAAGAAAGTAACGGGAATGATCGCAGTGTAGGAGAGATGGATACTCGCGGAGGAGGAGCAGTGAGACAGGTGTGAGCAGAGGAGCAGACCCCTTTGTGTGAGCAGAGGAGGAGGATCAGCGGTGTGACAGGTGTGTGAGCGCTGCTATTGCCAATGTTTAGTCCGAATATCCACATCAAAAACATATTTTTAAAAGCATTAGCAAACACACTGTATGTCTAGCTTTAGCTAGCTGGAGTGTTTTTGTTGTGGTCAGAGTGTGTGGAGGAGGAGGTGAAGAGTATTTTGTTGTTGTCAGTGTGGAGGAGGAGGAGCGTATGTTGTCAGAGTGTGTGGAGGCATGGCAAAAACGTTATTTGATGAGAAAATAATAATATTGACTCCGCCTCATAGCCATTTTGGCGCATTTTGCCCAAATCTAACTATTAGAAGAAAAAGACTCCTTTTGGTTCAATCTTTTGAGTTGCTCTACCATTTTGCCACAGGACGAAAGAGACATGTCAGCTAAAAAGACCGCGACCAATATTGCACGTAGAGTGTGTGTGCGTGTGTACGTGCGCGCGCCAAACGCTGCATAGGAGCGAAGACACTCGGTTACACGCGTGCTGATCTCGTCAAGCACCGCGCGAGGTGGTGCTGAATTCATGTCAAAGATTATAACAGGAAAAACTTTCCTCAGATCTGGGAAAAAAGTGTCAGGGCAGGGCCTCGCGTTTCGAGTTCGCACAGGGCCTCGCACCCCCCTTGCGACGGGCCTGCATATATGTGTGTTTGATCGGTCTGGTAGTCTACATCAGGAGCTCTTGGGAGAGGCGTCCTGTGACTACGGTTGACCTACGATTGGTGTTACGTGGGGGCGTCCTTGGTAGGAGTGGCCCGGTAACACGCTTTGTTTCTTCTGCCCTGAGTCCTCTCACGGTGTGAGGGTCTTGCTCGGGCGGAGCTCCAATCACCCTTCGCTGGCCTGCTGGGAGTACATGTTCCTACGGCCTCCGCGTTGTGTCCCACTAGCGAAGTCCTAAGGGACGTAGCACCATGACGTAGAATTAATAGTTACCTAATGTAACTTAAGTTCTACGAATAGGTGCGTAGTCCCTTAGCTACGAGCCCATCAGGCCAGCCCGGCTTGGCAGAGTTCAAGAGGGGGTGCGGCCTTGTGCAGGGGCATTTATAGAGGAAGGTGGCTGGTGATTGGAGCAAATTATTTTGATCTCTCTGGCGTCTGTGACCTGGGGGTCACGTGATATCCCACTAGCGAAGTCCTAAGGGACTACGCACCTATTCGTAGAACTTAAGTTACATTAGGTAACTATTAATTCTTCCTTGAGCCCACACTTTAACCTGGAACATACCAAAACGCACGTAAATTACAAGCCATCCACCACAAGTATGCTTTTGCTGCATTAAATATATCACACAGATATGGCAAGCTCTACTGCTATTTTAGCTCCTGGGGAACAGCGAGAGACCACCCACTCCAGACCACAAACATTAGGGTTTTGAAACAGCTCTGCGCAGCATTTGGTGAAGGGTCTAAAGAGAGAAGCTGCTGTTGATTTATTCCCGTTAGTTGATATCTATTTCTCGTTGATAATTTTAGAGTTTATTTTTTATAAATTATTCTTATTTAGTGAAGTTCACTGCTATGTTAAGCGAGGACTTGCTCAGGCCCATGTATTTTGTGTTTTCTTTTTTTTACTGTGGCCTGTCACAATAATTACTATCAAACATATTGTTCAATAACTAATGGAGAAAATAAAATATTTGGGCCTCAATATCTGGAGTTTTTCTCTGTAAAACAATTAGGTTTTAGCTGTAGATTATTACACATGACAAAATATGACTTATTTCTGCTGTTTATTTTGATAATCAATGCTTTTCGTAAATTAAGTATTTTTCTGGAACAATTATCCATAACAGTCTCCCTTCTTTGCATAACCACCTCCAGTAAGATTTTAGATTATTTTAGATAAGATTAATCCTCCCTCTGCTTCCTATTGTATTTTGAGGCTGCGGGTGTGAGACATTTTCGTTTATCATAATCATTTTCTGAATCAATACATAGCAATCAATCAATCAAGCAATCCATCATCTACATATCTGTATCATCCACCATAATGATAGATAGATATTAGATTGATAGATAGATTGTGAAAGGTCTAGTTTTTTGCTGTTTTTTGGCTGATACAACAATAATAGAGGCAACTTCAAGTATGAAAATGTCGGTCCTGTTAAGAAAAGATAAGATATTCCTTTATTCGTCCCACAGTGGGGACGATCAGTGGGGATCGTTGCGCACATTACAGCTGAGAAAGAAGGGAATAAGAACACTCAGATTGCACACGTCAAACAGGGACTATTATTTAAGATAATAGACAGTAGAGTTAAAATGATAAGAGGGTAAAATAGAATAAAATAGAATAAACTTTGGAGCTATAATCGCACTTATTTCAGAAGTATTTACAGATGTGTGTATTTGTTGTTTCTGTCATTATTTCAAGTGCTTCTTTGAAATCTGATGACTGTTTCCAGTAACCTCTGATGCCTCTTTCTCTCCTTCAGGACGACGTGAGGATAAAGTTTGAGTTTTCCGGCGAGAGGAGGTACGTGGTTGTTTTTCTATTTCCCCTAATGGCACTGGGTAAAAGTCAGAGGTCGTGTAAACAACTTTCCAGGAGGCACGCTGTTCTCGTCACATGTTCATTTAGACAGAAACACACTCTGCTTTTGATTCAAAGTCAGACTGGTATGCAAGCTCTAACTGGAAACGGGAAAGTGGTTACGCTGAGGCTGCCAGCTTCAACCACAAAAATGCAAGGTGTACTTTAGACAAATCCGGCTAAAAACACTGCCGCTTAATGTTGTCTTTTGCACGTGGCTTTAGAAAAGTGTAAATTTGCATTGAGTCGTTTCCCTCCTTTCTTTCTTTTTCTCCTCTTGAAGAATTCTCGTGTTCGTGAGGCCGGTGCAGTTTGAGGAAGTCCAGCAGAAAGTCAAGAGCGTGTTTGGTCAGACACTGGACCTGCATTATATGAACAATGAGGTAAAGTGGACTCAAATCTGCTCAGTCAGACAAGCAAACAGAAATGTGCAAATTAGGGCTGCAAGATGTATACTGCTGTCAAAGATTACTACAGTCGTCCCAGTTAGCAAAACAGCAAAAACTGCCATTATCCAAACCTGGAGTACCTAACACTGATATATCTAAATACTACAGTGTAATAAAACTACCATGGAACTAGATCATGTGTCTCATAATTGTTTGGTTCTATCACTAGTTTTCACATACAGATATTTTTGGCCTCTCTTACATCTGTAGATCAGCATTTGCATTGATTCTCTCTCTCCTCTCTGCTCTCTCTCCTCTCTCTCTGTTCTCTTTCTCTCTCGCTCTCTCTCCTATCCCTCTACTCTCTCCATCAGCTCTCAGTATGTAAGAAAGAAAATGGTTTCTAATAAGATAAAAACAGAATATTGTGGTCTGATGTGTGCACAACATTTTACTTACACAAGACTCTTTCTCTTGGAACAAACAACATGTATTTACTTAACAAAAAATAAGATAGGTACTCCAGCTTTAAGTTATATAGTTTTTTTTTCCACCAACAACCATTTATTTCATAGATAATTAGCCTGGTGGTCAATGCAGATTCCCATACATAGATCCTACTTACAAAAACACAGACAGTTGTACTTAGATGCTTATTGAGATGTCCTGACAAATATATTTTCCTAAATGTTGTGTGTAATTGATGTATTTTATGTCCTTTCAGTTGTCCATCCCTCTCAGAAGTCAAGACGACCTGGACAAAGCCATAGACCTGCTTGACCGAAGCTGTAACATGAAAAGCATTCGGATCCTGCTGCTGACACCAGAACATTCCAACGTAAGAAGCAAAGATACAAAAGAGCAACTGATAGAACTACAATGACAATAGGAGACCTGTTTTATTTTAGTTCTGAACTCATTTGGAGCTTTCTATGTTTCAGCTTTCTGTTAAAACAAAACCTAGAGGACTTTTCATAAGTCCATAGATTGTTTTACATTAAATAGAATGAAATAGCCAATGTTCTTTTCTTTGATACTGTACTCATCAACAAGCCTCTGTCATGTTCAAACGGGATGTTTCTTCAGAACATTGAGCAAGTTGAGAAACCTGCACTAGTTCCTCTTTGCTTTGTTGACAAATATTGTTAGATTCCTCTTACCAGAATGCTGTGCATTCTGTTACTTGTTGATGCTAAAACAATATTAAAATAATCACTTTTTCTCTCCTCTTCAGACTGTGTCATGCTCACACCCAGTGCCGTGTAAACAGGTGAGGATCAGCACCTCACAGTCGCCTGCAGACGCCACAGTGTTCCCGCCGGAGCCCCGCGGCCGACACCACTCCACCGGTACTTTCTACACCCGCCACAGCTTCTGACAAATATCAGGCTAACCTTTGTTCAAAATTACCTAAACAACCTAAAAGAATATAATTGTTCAGTATAGAGAATGGGTTGATATTTCCATTTGCGCAAATTCAAAATGATGCAATCAATGTCACTTCTCAAAAAGAAGGTGGACCCTAAATTCAATACTTCAAAAAATATTATTATTTAATAAACAAGAATACAAAAACAAAACTCAACTGAATGTGAAATACAGGAACTGAGGACAAAGACAAGAACTGTGGAGCAAACACTTAATGGACTGACAACAAGCGGGACAGAGCACATGGTTCAACTGGGAGACACAGGTGTCTCATCAGGGCAATCAACAGAACAGGACGTAAAACTCAAAAAAGACACAGGAGAACAGATTATTCTAAACAAAACAGGAACATAAATGACAACCCTTAAAATCAATCCTTGCTTTGTAACCTAAAGTTTTATTTCTAGTTTGTAAAAATATGTAAATACAGAAAACAGTAAGTTTGCAAACACAGTGGAAAGAGTCCTGGCTCCAGAGGGGAGGAGCATAACGTACTAGTAGTTATTAGACGTATGATTTGTTCTTCTCACAGTTTGATATGAAATCTTCTGATGTTGTAGAAACAAATGTAAATATTTCACAAGACGTTTCTCAACATTGTGGCATTGAGCCAACAGAAATAATTATAATCTAAAACAGGTGAGAAAAGAATATTTCATGTCTTTACAAATGTCCACTTCCGGTTTGAGCAGTATCTCTGTCATCATGCTCTGTCAACATGATGTTATTTCAGTATCAGTTTCTTGCTAAAGGATATTGCGTAACTTATAATTCTAGTATATTTCTTCCCACCCCAATATTATGCCTTTATTTGCTGGTAGATTTCCAGCAACAGTCGGTGCACTCTTGGTCACCCCTCTGTAGCTCTCTGCTGCTTGTTCTTCGCTTCCCCTTCAACCAATGGGACCTCTTCCTTTTCCTGTTCACCATTACTAGAAGATGGCTTTTGGAACGCAGCCAATCAGATTACTCTGTGCTATTAGTGTGGCCTGGTTTACACTTTTTCCTTGAAGCCAAATCAAGAGGACTTTAGAAGGCTTAACCCAATATAGAAAACGATTTGAGTTAGAATCAGTAGCCTCAAGTCTAATTTACTATTGAGCAATGACTTTTGACAACAAATTAGGGCCGCCTTCATAGAAAATTAATCTCACGAGTGCTCAGGCTTGTCAGGTCTCAATTTAAAAGCATCAAAAGCCTAACTCTAAACCTTGTTAATCCAACACTTAAACTTTTTGTTTGATAAAAGTGCTTTTGTGTTGAGGACTTAAAAAAATAAATGCATAAAATAAAAAACTGTGGATGGCTGACCTTCCTGTAAACATACCGACATGTCTGTGTTATTATAAAAACATACTGCAAGTAATTTTATAGTTTACTTTTTTTTTATTGTGCTGTTTAGTTATTGTACCTGAGAAGATTAGAAAAACTTCTTGTGCTTGTTTGAATTTCTATATAAAGCACTTTAGTGTAGCATGGAGGCAAGGTGGTCCTGGGTTCAATTCTACCTCCAGGCCTTTCTGTGTGGAGTTTGCATATTCTTCCTCTGTCCGCATAGGTTTCCTCCGAGTGCTCCGGTTTCCCCTACCACTAAAAACATACAATACAGTACAATAGCTCAGGTTGAATGAGTGTGTGTTTGTGAGTGCGAATGAGTGAGTGAATGGATGGTGTTGGTCGGGGGCTTTGATGCACCAGTGTGTTTGGCGTCTTGCTTCCGTCATCACCGAGTGTGGAGAGAATGGAATAATATCTGAACTCTAAACATTGCTTTGGGTGACGCTTGGTCTGTATAATGTGCAATAAAAATAAGCACTACTTCAGAATCAGAATCATTTTTATTGCTTTGTAAGTAACTGAAAGTCAGAGACAAGGAAGTTGCTTTGGCTCTCGGTGCAAACAAGTCAATAGTAGAGAACAGAATAAGGCATTATACAAAAATTCTAAAGTATAACATTTTCTAAAATATCTCATTAAAGTTCTGGCTTACTTTAATGAGAAAGGCTGCAGAGTGTGTGGTGTGATTGTTGGCAATGAAAAAGGTGTACCACGGCTCGAAAATGTTGGGGGACACTGGTCTAAGTAACCGGTAGCATAACAAATGACAGAATACGCTATTATATCAACCCTGATTCTTTGTCATTGGCGTCGGATGCAGGGTCCCAGAGCACGGGTCGCAGTTCTCCACCTCCGGGTTACGTTCCCGAGCGGCAGCAGAGAATAGCTCGTCAAGGCTCCTACACCTCCATCAACAGTGAGGGAGAGTTCATCCCCGAGACCAGCGACCAGTGTGTGAGTCTGCAACAACAACACACCAACACCCTGCATCATGAGTGCAACCAGACTGAACTTAAAGCCGGGGACCTAACTTTAAAAGCACAAAACATTGAACTATGTAATCTACTCCGTACTCCTGGTGCTCAAAATGTTTGGTTCTATCACTGTTTTTTACATGCATGTATTTTTGGCCTCTGTAATATCTTTAGATCAGTTTTTAAGATAAGATAGACTTTATTGATCTCACACAGGAGAAATTGACAGAAAAGTGAAAAAGAGAGGACCCCTTCACTCAACCAATCAGCTCTCAGCTCAAAGCAGTACATAGTAACTAAATAGATATCTTTAACAAGAAGGAGACAGCATGTTCTCGTCTGACGTGTTACATTTTACTTTTACAAGATTATCTGTTGGGACAAACTACAATATTATTCACAAAACAAAAAAGTTACCCAAGAACTCCTGGCACAAACATGGTTCTAGTCTGTGCCCCTTTTGTCTAAATTAGAGATGTGCCATTTCCGGTCTGTGGGCACTTCAAATAGACAGACTACTGCGCACACAAATTTGACATAATATAACACAGTCCCTGAGACTCAAGTTTGAAAAGGGGCTGAAACAAAAGCGTATAAGGCTCCTCTCTGCCATTCAACACATACAGCACACAGGCCCCAAAACTCTGACCCTACATTTCTCTCCCATCCCTCACTAAGCATCTTCAGCACTACTTTTTAAAATGTTTTTATTTTTAAATTAGTATACAAAAGGTTCTAAGGAAATTAGCAGAACGAGGTGAACAGATATTTTGAATGAATTCTTTCTGTTTCAATCCTCTCCTTGTCGCAGGTGATGGATCCTTGGAGCAGTGCAGAAAACTCGGTCTCTGGAAGTTGTCAGTCTTTGGACAGCAACTCCGACAGGTCAGCATTAAAACAAAATGAAAAACTGTTTATATTGCTGCATCTTTTCAACAAGAATGTAATAGAAATGTGTGTCTTTTGATTAGCCCGTCGGTGAGGAAGTCCAGGATGCACCGAGCCAAGAGCTATCCGGACAACAGACTGGAGTGCACAGGTGACTTTTTTTCATTTCTGATGTCGCTGTTGAAACTTTTTCAGACCAAGGACCATTTAAAAAACTGGGGACCACCTTTTTTTGCAATTGTGCCTAAAGAAATTGCACTAAACCGTAGAACTTTAGCCCAAAATGGTGAGTGTGACATAAACATATACAGAGCAAATTTTTTATTTAAGTGAACGAGAGAATAACTTTGTCCATGAGCGCTTCCCTATTGGCTCTATACAAGTTTTTTTGTGATAACTTATTTTTCATTATTTTCTTGCCAGTTGTTTTTGGAGAAGATTACAATGTTATGATTACAGTTCAGTTTCAGTTTGTCAATATATTTCAGACATTTTTCAAGCACAAAAATGGTCAAAATAAGGTCTGAAAAAATTAATGATTACAATTAATGATACATTGGGTTTTGGATGTGTTTCATAAGTGTCAACAGTTCACCTTTATGTTTGCAGATCGGGAGAATCACATTTATGACAGAATTGTGGGAAAAGGAGGAACGTATCCACGGCGATACCACGTCTCCGTCCACCACAAAGAGCACAGCGAAGGTACAACCTGCTCTTATTATTCACACTGCAATAAACAACATAAGAAACGTTTATTCCGGCTAGAATTTTGCAATATTTCTCTATGTTTCAATATATTTTGACTGTATGAAATGAATGTCAAAGTATAACAAAGATTTAGTATTATTTTCAGAGCAGCAGCCTTTTTTTCTTTTCAAGAGAGATAGAAATTACTCAGTAAGTCCAATTATAGATACAAACCACTTAATTCAATTCTTATTAAAGCTGGGTTACCTAACTTGTAATAACATGTAATAAAATCTCTCTAACTAGTTCCTCGCTCTCAATACAGTTTGGTTATATCACTAGTTTTCACATGCATGTATTAATGGCCTCTGTCAGATCTTTAGATCAGATTTTTAAGACAGAAAAGGGGAAATGAGGACCACCATCTCCACTCAACCAATCAGCTCTCAACCCAAAGTGTCAAATAGTGACTCTTATAAGTATGCAAATGATGATATGTATTCTAATAAGATGAAAGGAGCAAGTTGTGGTCACTATTACAATACTCTTTCTGTTGGTACAAACAACACCAGCTTTGATATTTTTGTCCAGGTGAAGATTCTTGTATCTATCATAGGCCAAGGCAAATTCCTAGTTTGTGGCTTCCTGTTACTTACAATGGCAACAAAAATAATTCTGATTCTAATTCAAATTCAGTCATTTCATTTGCCATTTGCTGTAAAACCACATTGGACTACATTTGCAAAAGTCCCTAGTTTACACAAGACAAGTACATTTAAAAAAGGAATAAAACAAGCTAAAGTATAGGATTCTGATTCTTTCTTTTAAAATGGCTGCGTGTGCCCTTCTCCAGGCCGGCGGACGTTCCCTCGGATTCGGCGAGCGCAGGGAAACCTGTTCACGCTGGTGCCGTCGCGGAGGTCACTGAACGGCAGCGAGGAGAGCGTGGGCAGCTGGCAGCTCCTGGACGCCCAGAGCAGACTCCGGGCACAAGAGAGACCCGCCAACCCCAAATGTCAGTGTCCTCTCTCCTGCTGTTTTTATTCACCATCACAGACCAACCAAGATAATGTCATTATATCTACTTTATTTACCCTGTCATATATGTACAGTATATAATTTACACCGACCATAAATGCCCTGGATCATCCCCAGTCCTCAAGAGAGCAAAGGGAAACTAAATAATCCAGTGGGGAAAACAAAAAATACTGGGATTTCATGACCTAGTGGTTTCATATATTCAAAAATATATACTATATTTTTGATGTTTTGTTTTTCCCAGCTCCCAGTGCTCCTCTCACCTGGCGCAGGGGGAAGCTTCTGGGGCAGGGGGCGTTCGGGCAGGTGTATCTGTGCTACGACGTGGACACAGGAAGAGAACTGGCTGCGAAACAGGTCCAGTTTGACCCCGACAGTCCAGAGACCAGCAAGGTAAGACTGTTTTAATGAATGCTTATACTTAAAGGAGACATATATTTATTATTTTAGCCTTTAACAGTGTTGCAAAATTGTCTTTATTTTAAAATCATGAATGTGGAGGAAAGAGAGTGATGGAGAGGTGTAGTGTCAGAGAGTGTTTGGGCCTGTGTCTTGTGTACAGTGCCTTGCGAAAGTATTCGGCCCCCTAGAACCTTTCAACATTTCGCCACATTTCAGGCTTCAAACATTAAGATATAAAAATTTAATTTTTTGTCATGAATCAACAACAAGTGGGACACAATCGTGAAGTGGAACAAAATGTATTGGATAATTTAAACTTTTTTAACAAATAAACAACTGAAAAGTGGCGCGTGCAATATTATTTGGCCCCTTTACTTTCAGTGCAGCAAACTCACTCCAGAAGTTCAGTGAGGATCTTTGAATGATCCAATGTTGTCCTAAATGACTGATGATGATAAATAGAATGCACCTGTGCGTAATCAAGTCTCCGTATAAATGCACCTGCTCTTTGATAGTCTCAGGGTTCTGTTTAAAGCGCAGAGAGAACCATGAAGACAAAGGAACACACCAGGCAGGTCCGAGATACTGTTGTGGAGAAGTTTAAAGCCGGATTTGGATACAAAAAGATTTCCCAAGCTTTAAACATCTCAAGGAGCACTGTGCAAGCAATTATATTGAAATGGAAGGAGTATCAGACCACTGCAAATCTACCAAGACCCGGCCGTCCCTCCAAACTTTCATCTCAAACAAGGAGAAGACTGATCAGAGATGAAGTCAAGAGGCCCATGATCACTCTGGATGAACTGCAGATAACTACAGCTGAGGTGGAAGACTCTGTCCATAGGACAACAATCAATCGTGCACTGCACAAATCTGGCCTTTATGGAAGAGTGGCAAGAAGAAAGCCATTTCTCAAAGATATCCATAAAAAGTCTCGTTTAAAGTTTGCCACAAGCCACCTGGGAGACACACCAAACATGTGGAAGAAGGTGCTCTGGTCAGATGAAACCAAAATCGAACTTTTTGGCCACAATGCAAAACGATATGTTTGGCGTAAAAGCAACACAGCTCATCACCCTGAACACACCATCCCCACTGTCAAACATGGTGGTGGCAGCATCATGGTTTGGGCCTGCTTTTCTTCAGCAGGGACAGGGAAGATGGCTAAAATTGATGGGAAGATGGATGGAGCCAAATACAGGACCATTCTGGAAGAAAACCTGTTGGAGTCTGCAAAAGACCTGAGGCTGGGACGGAGATTTATCTTCCAACAGGACAATGATCCAAAACATAAAGCCAAATCTACAATGGAATGGTTCACAAATAGACGTATCCAGGTGTTAGAATGGCCAAGTCAAAGTCCAGACCTGAATCCAATCGAGAATCTGTGGAAAGAGCTGAAGACTGCTGTTCACAAACGCTCTCCATCCAACCTCACTGAGCTCGAGCTGTTTTGCAAGGAAGAATGGGCAAGAATTCCAGTCTCTCGATGTGCAAAACTGATAGAGACATACCCCAAGCGACTTGCAGCTGTAATTGCACCAAAAGGTGGCGCTACAAAGTATTAGCGCAAGGGGGCCGAATAATATTGCACGCCCCACTTTTCAGTTTTTTATTTGTTAAAAAAGTTTAAATGATCCAAAAAATTTCGTTCCACTTCACGATTGTGTCCCACTTGTTGTTGATTCTTGACAAAAAATTAGATTTTTATATCTTTATGTTTGAAGCCTGAAATGTGGCGAAATGTTGAAAGGTTCAAGGGGGCCGAATACTTTCGCAAGGCACTGTATGTGTGTGTGTGCGTGTGCGTGTGTTTTGTGTTTTATGAGTGGGATTGGAACCAAATAAGGGTCTGCTTCGTCCAACACACTTTTTAAAGTTTCTGTTGCTTTTTCATTATATATTCATTGTATATATTGTAAATTTCTCCTCTGTGAGATCAACAAAGTCTATCTTATCTTATATCCTGTTATTGTTTGGGTAAAGTTTGAAAACAATTCTTTCTATACTATATAAACTTTGATTCCATGGACAGAGCTTTGTTCACCTTAAGAATGGCCTCTAAATTAGCCCTGGGAAGTCAAAATACATTCTTTACATCTGTGTGACTTCAACATGCTATATAAGATGTTTAATTATATGTGAATTCTAAAAGTAATTCCCCACTTCTACCACTATATATGACAATTACTAAACCCATTATACACATATCCATCTATTTTTACTTGAATCCGAAAGTAAATATTCTCAAGATCATGTTTAAGGGCCTTCCTTACAGCTTGAATACTTGGAAAGTCCATGGTTCAAAGGCCCCACATGGTCTTATTGTATTTAGTTCTATTGTGTCACTTGTTGTTGTCCTGCACATACACAGTCCACTGCAGGACACACAATCCGGAAGTGTTGCTGTTGTGTCTATTGAATGTATTTAAAGATTGATACTGAATTAACTACAAAGCAGGGTCATGTAGTGGTCATCAATGTGTAATTTTTAAAGACAGTCTTGCTCTTATGCTGATTTGCTTTGACCTATTCAACTTCAAAAAGGTTGAATAAATACTAGTAGGCCATATACTATGATGGTTTGAACTTCTAATAGATGGATAGATACTTTATTGATCCCCGTATGAGAAATGCAGGTTTCCTGTAGCAGCGGAAACACATGCATCCATACAAACAAAACCAATAAATAGATAATTCGGTATCGTTAATATTAACTAAAAGTAGCTAACAATGGTTAAAACAATAAAAATGCAACAGCACTTTAGGTCACTGCAGGTGGAGAAGCCATTTTCGTTGTTCTGGTCCAGAGTAAAAGGCTGAATGCTTTGTTAGCCTTTAAAAAAAATTAGCACTCCTCCTGTGGATTTCCACTTGATCTGCTTGGGTTTGGCCAGTGAATGCTCTGGTCTGGATCAGTGTTAAACTATGGACACTGTACTGCAGTAACATTTACAGGTAGAAAAATGCAAGAAAATAACAATTGAAAAGTACAAAACAATAAATGTTTCACAGCTACTTAGTTCGTTTCCAGCACATTCAGAAATATATGTATTACTTTATCTTACGTCACGCCTACTTTGAAGTGGAAAGACTTCTGCTTGTTATTTTCTACACACTGCAAATCAATTCAACTACTATACTACTAGTACTGCTGCTTCTATTGCTTTTGCTACTACTGCTGCTGCCATGACTGCTGCTGCTCCTACTGCTGTCATCATTTACTCACTGCAATCCACTTTTAAAGCTACTACTTCCACTGCTGCTATTACTTCTGCTGCTGCTGCTACTACTACTACTACTGCTACTACTGTTGCTATTGCTACTATTATACTCCTTCGACTACTACTTCTACTAATACTACTACTGGTATTGCTGCTTCTGCTACTACTGCATTTTTCACTGCAAACCAATTCTACAACTATTAATAATTCTGGTACTCCTACTGTAAGGATTACTTAGGGTTTAAACCACTCAACATTCACGCATACAGTAGAATTAAATATATCGTCTACAGAGATAGAAATTAATATTTAGCACACATGATAATAGATTTTTCATATTGTGTCCATGCCATATGTTACAAACTCAGCAACACCTGAGAAAATCAATAACATTGTCCTACATATTAACTTACTTAAATTACAACAATCCGGTTGCATTCCTGATCTGTCAAACAATTACAAGTTTGAACATATTCCAGTAACAGAGAATGACATCAGGCGATATTTTGAGCATGTGAATGTGTTGATGTTTGTGCTCTGGAATGCACTTGTCGCCTTAATTAACTAATCAGTCACTTAATCTTTGCCGCGGCTCGGATTAAACTTTGAGCCTTGTGATATTTTGACAAAGTTCTGTTGTGGTATGTTTATCTTGCCCCAGTTCAACGTGGCTTCCTGGCTGCCACTAGGAAAATGCACTTCCTGAATCTAATAGACAGCTTATGTTAGGTCCCCTGACTATAATTTATGAGATTTGAGCTTTGTCATATCATTCTCTAAACTTAAGGATCTTGTTTAGAAATATATGTGTGTTTTGAGTGTACATTGTCATATTTCCCATCCTTATAAAGTCCGGTCCAGTCCACAGTTCCGCCCATCACAATATCAACCGCCTGATAAGACTTAAGGCACTTTTTCCATTACTGCTGCTTTGTTTTGGTCCTAAAAATAAGTAAGTCTGTACTATTAATTACAATTGAATTATAAAATAGTATTTTTTGTGGTAGCAATTACATTAAAAAACTGCAATTATTTAAGTTTAATTGCAAACAAAAAAGTCCTTTTATCAAAAAATGTTTTACATATGCCATTTTTACATTGCCCCTTATGGACCAATGGCTCTATGTATTTTTTGTGTTTGAACTGTTTGATTCTCTGATCTGTGTTGGCGAATTCCATGATTTTGTTAAGTCCTATTGTGATTTAAGGCTATACAAGAATGAATTGAACTGAATTATCTTGATTTCAGTATGTTTTGAAGATTTATCTATGGAACAACCGGCTGGAACTATCTTTCATTTTGTTATCATCTTTTTCGTGATTTATTTTACATGAATTTTGTGAAACGAGCTGTGTATCTATAATCTGGTGCAGAACATATCTGTCTTTGAGCCTAATGTTCCTGTCCCACTGTCTCTCTCAAATAAAGACTAAACTAAAATAAACTGTAAGGATACCAAGCCTCTCTCTGGCTCTCTGTGCAGGAGGTCAGCGCCCTTGAGTGTGAAATCCAATTGCTGAAAAATCTGCATCACGAACGCATTGTGCAGTATTACGGCTGCCTGAGGGACCACAGCGAGAAAACCCTCACTATCTTTATGGAGTACATGCCTGGGGTGAGTCTCCCCAATCCCTCAAATACAAGTCTGTTATGACCGTTAATCATGAAAGCGATGTTCTTTCTCTCTATAGGGATCAGTGAAAGACCAGCTCAAGGCTTATGGGGCTCTGACAGAAAACGTGACCCGGAAATACACCAGACAGATCCTGGAGGGAATGTCCTATCTCCACAGCAACATGATTGTGCACAGAGACATCAAAGGTGGGACATTTATAATCTAATGTTTAACCATGTGACAAAAAAGTTATCTCGTCAAAAACGTAGAATTGATTTTAGCCTCATCCACAGAAATATGAGAAACTTCTGGGACAAAACTGTTCCTTTCTCAAACTTGTGTCATTGCTATGTGCTACTATCTCATAACATAAACTTGGCATCCAACCCTGTACCGTGGTGCATCTTAAAAATACCAAAAAAGCCCTGAATGTTTTTGGAATATTAGAGTTTTGATACGTTTTGGGAATTTATATGATCCTTAGAGTTGAGTATACAGTATATACGAAACAAACAAAAGTTATTATATTATTTGCCTTTCTGAATGTATAACAGACATCTTTGACCTTCTTTGCTCTGCTTGAAACGGCAACTAACCTCTGACAATACCAAAACTCATATGAAACTGTATAGTGCATGTAAACGACCGTCTTAGGTACGCTAATAAAAAGAAAACAACTGAAAGATACTGTACTGAGGAGTGGTGACATAAGTAAAGGGTTGAGGTAAGGTAAAAAAAAAAAATATTTGATTTTGATAACTCCACTCTTTTTTTATTTTTTCAGTGTGCTCAATTTGATCCCCCAATTTATATATTTCTTATACTTCAGGAGCCAACATCCTGCGTGATTCTGTGGGTAATGTGAAGCTGGGGGACTTTGGCGCCAGTAAGAGGCTCCAGACCATCTGCATGTCCGGCACTGGGATCCGCTCTGTGACCGGCACCCCCTACTGGATGAGCCCTGAAGTGATCAGCGGAGAGGGCTACGGCAGGAGGGCAGACGTCTGGTAAAAACACACAGTGAAAGATCTATCATCTTCCTATTCCTCACAAACTCCTTGGAACATCATTTGTATTTGCGTGCATGGATGTTAGGTCAACAATGCAACCATAAAGTAAATTGGGATGGATTACACCTGCAGCTTCCATAGAGTCACATAGTCTCATCCTCACAAGTTTGCTCTTTTTGTGACTTTACACTAAACCTGTAGTTGAGAAAAAAACAGAATAAACAAAACAATTAAAATAAATGTCGATATCCATATCCCGTAGTGACCCAATATCAGCGTCAATAATCTGTCAACCCCTAAAACATGTCCATGCATTCTCACATTTAGATGGGGTTTCTCAATTCATATAAAGTCAGACCAAAAATTTAACATGGAAACAAGCAGGTGGTGAATGCTCCACCAGAAAAGTATGTAAGTGTAATGGAAATGTTTACAGAGTTGGAACATGCATTACCTAAAGCTTTTACTTTTATTACTTCTTCCACATCAATGGGGAAAGTGCATCTCCTTAACATTCAGCATGGGTATATAAGCAATGTTTTGAAATGAGGCTTTGGCTATGCTTTAAAGAGTAAAATCCTTCGCTAAACGACTTAAAAGCCATCTGTAGTATGTAACTTCACTCCCACACAGAACATTCTTCATCCAAACATACTGCTCTTATGCAATCTGGCTTCGACATGACAGAGCGAGTGAATGATGGCCACGGTCCAGTCAGACAGGTCTCAACATAGGCTGGTATGTGTGGGTCTCTGGAAACTGAGGGAGCAGTGTTCCCCACAACCTGCTGTTTATTGGATGAGAACCTCTGATGTAGTAATAACAATTTACAAAACATTCCTGTAATGTTTAGAGTCTGGCTTAACTTTATGTGAAGTTTTAATGTAGGTGCGGCGACCAGGACAGGTGTGGAAGTTGACTATATGTGTGGGAAATGTAAAAAGACACCAACGGAAATTGTGGAAATTATTCAACTATAGTGCAATAATATGTGCTTTTCTATCACTCTTTGGACTCTTAAAGACGCTTTACGAAGAGAGAGGTTAATAAAAAATAACGATAAAAAAGCTAAAATAAACAGTAAAGTATAGGCAGTTTAGAACAGTTTGGTAAAGTGCTTGTTAACTGGATTTGTTACGTATCGTGAATGTTTTTCATGTTTTTTTCATCAATTGAAACTGTGAATTTTTTTTAGAATTAATTTATGGATCACAGAAAAATTTGTGTTTCTACTCCATATCTACCTCCGGGATTCATGTCACAAGCAACTAACTTTAAGACATTCTCGCAATGTTTTCCTCCCATTCAAAATTCATAATAGTTTGTTTTAATAGCTAATCTTTAGCTATTTTACATTGAACATTTGAAGTACAAATAAAACATTGGGGTTAGTTGCTTCTATCACTAGTTCTCACACGCTTGTGTTTTTGGCCCCGGTCACATCTTTAGATCAGCTTTTTCAGACAGTAAAGAAGAATAGAGAGGACCACCTTAACTCAGCCAATCAGGTCTCCGCCTCAAAGCGTCAAATAGTTACTTTCCGGACTCTTTCTTACAGATAACAAGTCTCTTTTTATTGGGTCAAATTATATATATTATTTATCAGTGATTCCAATACCCTTATGTAGCATAAACAAACTCTAAATCCTTTTACCTTTCCGTAAAAATGTTCTCCATGTGTTCTGTAGGAGTCTTGGCTGTACTGTGGTGGAGATGTTGACAGAGAAGCCTCCCTGGGCTGAATATGAAGCTATGGCGGCCATCTTCAAGATCGCTACTCAGCCCACAAAGCCGCTGCTGCCTCCGCAATGCTCCGAACAGGCCCGGGACTTTATCCACTGCATCTTTGTGGAGGCCAAGCTGAGGCCCAGCGCAGAGGAGCTGCTCAGACATCCCTTCTCCCACATACAGTGCTGAAAGCTTCTGCTGTTATGAACTCAAAACACGGCAGTATCAGTTGTAGCTGAAACTCAAACGGAGCCAGACGTCTGTGTTATCCACAGTCTTTCTGCTGCTCCAGACACTCCAAAGACGTCTTTGTTGACAGCAGGAGTCAACAGTTCTCTTCAGCAAATTCTTAATTTTCTCAGAGGAACACAAATGCATTTTTAAGTGGTGTGAAGCAAAGAATCTCAATAGATTTGTATAAAGCTGGTCCAGTATTTATTCTTGATGCATTTCAGATAAATCTAGTTGCCAAAATGCTGTCTTGTATTGGAGTCCCTCCCCAAAGACAAAACAACAACACCGGAATATGCTGTTTCTCACACTGGATTTGTAGCTTCCCTTTGAGCTTCACCAGTGAGCTTTGGACTGAGTTGTGGTTAGATACAGTGAGTCTGGAAGAAAGTGTAAAACTGTAGTGCTAAGGCGTTTAGAAGGAGATAGATGTTGATTACTATAAGAAGGCCTTTTAGTAAGTTGCAGTGAGTTAAAGAATGGTTTGTCAATAAGAAAGCAGGGAGAGTTCAATTTGAGGAGAGAATGTGAATTGAGTTGGATTGTGGATGTTATATTGGTTGTCTAAAACTGAGAACTGTAATTCTAAAGAAGTAGATACAGTCTCTATAGTTTGTCTGTTGGTAGGTTTTTTCTTATAATCCGTCTTGTTTAAACTTACCTATGAGGCATGCTAAATAAAAGCTCTATCAGTGACGTAAACTAGAACATCTCAATCCTCTAGTTTACAAATGTCTATTTTATAAGAGGCCATTGGAAAACAGATGCACTTTCATATTAACTTTTGAAATGTGAAAATTGTTCTTTTTATTTATGTACAATGCTAATTACTTTTTCAAGCAAAGCAAATATATATTTTTATACGCAAAAAAAACACAAAATGTAATAATGCTTTCAGTTTTGTTAGATTGAAATTTGTTAAAGCAACTGGTTTTGCAAACAATATAATTGTTAAATGTTGATACTTGACATATGGACCACTGCTTCCTGGGTCAATATCCAGGCCAGAATACACGATAAGAGTTTGAAAGTCTATTTGACCAATTACTTAAGAAACTTGGTTCGACCAAGAGTGAGAGTCCATTGACAGTGAAAAGACGACTTTGGTTTTCCCATAGTTTAGGCCCTTAACCCAAAAATTTAATTTTCTAATATTAGTATGATGCAGCTGCAGCTGTAAAATGGATTTCATTATAATCACAAGAATACGTAAATGGTGAACATAGTCCTTTTTATCTATGTAAAAAGTGGCAAAAGCTTTGGGAAAGTCAAAAGAAAAATAGAATATCTATGACAGGACTTGCAGTGCAATGTTGAATATAAATAATAGTTTTACATAAAGAAAAGTTTTGTAACTACAGTGTTTATATGAAAACCAGAAATTATATGTTTTACCAATGCATATGAATAAAATTAAAAAAGGTTGTTTGTTTTTATGTGTGAATGTTGCTCTTCACAACTTGTCGGTTTCTTCTTGTCTGTTTTCAGCCAAGTTTAACAGAAGGACACAGGATAATGTTGTACTACATTTTGTTGTCCCCATAGGTAAATGTGTCATCTGCATTTGATCCATTCTTCAAGCATCCAACTGTTCAGAGATGAAAATCTGTTGTCCAATGTAAGCCATCAGGAAAAAGTACAAATATTTTTCCAATGCTTCAAAAAGCACAAGATGTACGTGACCAAAATAAGGTAATAACAGTGTAGCAGATCAGAGTGAGACATAATTTGATGAAATTGGCGGAAGAATAAACTGTACAAAAACTGCAAGGATTGTGTATGGAATTGTGTATTAAGATGGGTCATCATGATTATACTAGTTGCAACAAGCTATCAAAGATGCTAAAGGCAAAACCATTGCTGTTAGATGGATAGTGGACATGTGGATAATATATTTTATGTTTCTAAAACGCTATTTTACATTATAACATTTTATTTTAGCATTTTACAACGTGACAGTATTGTTAGCATTAACTGAGTTAGCATTAGCCGCAGTAGGCCTCGCTCGGCTGATCTGTTGCTATGGCTGCTGATCGCTGAGGATCCTGGCCACTGATTGGTGCAAAAACTACCAAGTCTCATTCTCAACCAATCTGGAAGTTCACGAGCTCACTTTACCAGAGTGGCACGAGACCACTCGAAGATAATGAACAACTTTTAGACAGAAATCTTCTTATTTATTCACAAAGGTATGTATTAAAGTCTGTTACTGTACATTTGGAACCTGGAAAATGTTGATGTAAAGTTAGAGATTCCTTAGATTTCGAAAGATTGTTTAGCCCAGAAATGATTGGTAATTGTTAGCACTAAAGACGTTAGTGACCAGCAGCGAAAGTTGATTTTGCTACAAACATTTCCATCAAACACGGAAATTCTACTTTGAAGCATTATAATAGATTCAAATCTACCTCTACTCACATTCTTTCAGAACATTTATTAACTTAAGAATCAAGTTCACGGCATTCCGAAATTTCCGAATGTCATTTGAAGGGGACCGGGGCACGATGGCCAACACCCTTTTCCCCAGTTATCAGCGTCAGGTACGTTTTTCCACCTCAAGAAATACTAAAATGTCGTGAATGAACGCACTATAAATGTATCATTGATGTGCATGCATTACTGAAACCTAAACTCAACGGAAATTTTACATGTGAACGATGCTAAAAATCCGATATGTGAATGAAAAGTATAACAAGGGGTAAACTATCTAATTGTTGGTTATTTCCCTCAATTTAGGCCAGTTTTAACCTTGGCTCTGGAAGCAATGGAAGTGTGCCGTTCATTTCCATTCCCGGAGTCTCCCTTCAGGAGGCAGACAAAGGTTCCTATGTCCTGTGGTCTCACGATGCGCAGGACGACCCTTATAAACTTATCAATTGTGCTCAGAACCACTTCAAAAACAGGTACTTTACTACTCTGTTACATGTTTTTCACTAATATTGTATGAATGAGACTAAAAGGTTCCATTTAAGACTTCGTGATGTTTCACAGTCCATCCTAACCATTTGTGTAATAATAATTTGGTGTTACACCAGCCAAACTTAAAACGGGAAATTATAGCCAATATCTTGCACAGAGGGGATGGCACCTAGGATCTCTGTTCCTTTGCCAGTGACCCAAACACCCACCACCGGCGCAGTGACCTAGCCCAAGACCACAAAATTGCCTACTCCCTCCCACTGTGTGACGTAGCCTCACGCTGACTTTGTGGTAAACGCATAGACAGTAATTATTAACAGACGTGGTCACACCTATCTCCACCGTTGAAACAATTGTGCGCCTTCGATAGCCGGCATGAGCCCTATTCAAGTGCATTCAAAATTCCACAGCGACTAAACTAGGCTTGTCCAAAAAAAAAAAATCCCCTCAGCATTGACATGCATCCTGAACATAGCGTTCCAAGAGCCAGATTTTGGACCATCCTTTGAAGCCATTTTTGAGTGGATAGAAGGCGGCATACAAAAGCAATGGGTAATTCTCTTTCCGGGTCCACCCCCCACCCCCACCCCCCGCTAGGAGTGAGATTGCAAGCATGGACCGTTTTTAGAGGGTAAACACAGTTGAGCTCTAATTCTGGTATTTTTCAGAAAACCCTCTGAGGTCAGTGATGATGCAGAGACTGAGCTGCAGGGACTCGTCTCTAACATTCTGGATGAAGCTGATTCACAGGACAGTCTCTACAGTGACGGGTTTGTACATATGTGGTGGTAAAGTAGATTTACTGTACTTTGGTCAGTTATATTATACATTATGATCATGTAACAAAATTGGTCCCTTATTTAGAAACAGACTTGGAGTGGTACTAAATACATGCTAATTTCAGGATTTTTTGGCATAATCCAACACATTCCCTTGTCTCTTCTGAATGCCTTGTTTCAGTAGGACAAATGTTTAGATCTGCATTCTGCCTTATGAAACAAAAGTATTTCATGAAAACTATTTATTGTACATAATCTTTTGTCTGTCATTAAATAGTGTTTGGTGAAGTTGTCATAATTCTTATTCTCTATCTTACTCTGGTAGAAGCCTGGGTGAAGGCAGCAACAACATCTGGTCTCCAAAAAACCTGCAAGATGAACTACTGCTGTATTTTCAGGCTGAGGCCAATGCTCAATACAAATTTTCTCCAAACTGCATCTCCCACGATGCTTTTGGAAAGACTCAGGGACAGACTGTGAATAAAGAGACTGAAGAACTTTCCAATGGCTTCAAGAATAATCAACAAATGCTTTTTGAATTACCCAACGGAATTCAGAACTTCTCCCAGCGTAGAAAATCACCCCCGGGTTTAGCTATCCCACCCAACATGGCTAACACCTACCTGCAGCTGCAACAGAATAATTATGAAAACAGGCCAGTTCCAAAGGATAGGGAAAACGGGGAGAATCTTGGAAACTTCCCAGATTTTAGCCACGTTTTTAAACCTCAAGATAACATGAACGGGGGCGAATTACTATACAATGAGCACTACAATCAAGCCATGGATGAACCGGCTATTGCAAATGAGCAATACACCTCTCAAGATTTAAACCAGCTCGTCAGCAGCTTCCAGTCTTTCGTGACAGGCGAACATGACAGCACAGAGTTTGGGACTGTGCCAACAATGATCCAACGTGATGAAAAATGGCCAAGTCCAACTTGTTTCATGGAATTTGACCGTTCACCGCAAGTGCAAAGACAGCTAGCGAGTGATTTTGTGCACTGCAATGGAACAAGGAAGCAACTGTTCAAGCGGGATTCACTCCAAGATCTGTCATCCCACAGTTTGCAGAATACAGATTACTCGCCGCAGCAAATACTATCAATGCGTAATAATACAAACATCATACATAGAGATAATTCTTCACGTAATTTTGCCTTGAATCACTATCCACAAGTCCAGCAAAGTCCGCTAAAGTTCAAACCCCAGATGCAGAGCGAAAAGAAGAGAACGTCCGGCTTCTTTACCAATTCTTTCAACTTGCAATCTCCAAATGGTGAAATTTTCCTCAACGAGAAGCAACCGGCTTTCTACAATTTCCGCTCTCCACGGTTCAACAGCGAAAACAGCTCTATTTCGCCGCAGTATTCACCGATCATGTACGCGCACGATCCAAGGAGGTGCCCAACTCCAATCCCAAACCCAAACTTCAGCCCCAGAGGGTCGCTGGTGTATAGAGGAAACATGGATGTGGCTGAGGTGACCAGTGAGATGTCCAGATTCAGCCCCGGGTTGAACGGCAGGAGAATGGAGAGCACGTTTCATGGCATGCCCCCCTCCCCTGGGAATCGAGGCGGACCCGTGCTGCAGCTCTACTACTACCTGGACGAGTGCTACGAGCAGTGGAGGAGCTTGGAGAAGGAGCGCAAGAGGGTGAGGGGAAATGAAGACATGTTTTTAATTAAGTCTTTTCATTAGAGGCTTTAATAATCTCATGTGATTATGCACTTTTCCTACATTAGGGGCTAGGGGCTGTTTTCCCCATTGTCTATCCTATACAATTGTCGTTCACAAACCTTTCACATAAAAAATCATCTTGTGCCACCAGATCTATCTATTTTACCTTCCAAATAACAGCATACAGTATCAAAACCAGTTTCTAAAACAAGACTTTTCTTGGTCAGTAACTATTACATGAATGCTCAACCATGTTTTACAAGAGAACAATATGGGATTACCAAACGGATTGCCAAATGTGGACAATAATACTCAAATTAATTAAATAGTTTAACAGCAGACAAATCAACTTTCCACTGTGAATCACTGTTATATGATATCTGTGCCCTATTTATACCATTCATTTTTATTATTTATTTATTATCATTACTGTGGGAGGGTCTGGGACATAGCAATTATACACAATACAATACAATGTACTTATTCTTGTAATAAATTCAATTAAGGGATTAAGATTGTTGACAATATCAATTTGAAACTAAATATATCTTTTGAATTTGTTATCAAAATTACATATAACACAAAGCTGAATCTCAACAACAGTGTAATATAGTTGTAATATTGGTCTGTACTATCACTTTGTCAACTAACCCTATATATTTATTTTACAATATCAGGATTTATGTGGACCACAATAACAACTGCCCTGTTCTGTAAAGCATAAAATCATAACACAAGAAAATAAGAGCATAATCAAATGGAAATGGAGTGAGTTTGTTGAAAATGAAAGAGAGAATCATGACAATCTGCCTCTAATACAAGGATTGCTGTAATTCTTTCCACAAATAGTTTGCAAAAAACATGTTTTTAGTAGTATTGTTTTTTCCTGCAACCACAGCCCTATTTTAGTGGTAGTAAACAACCAACTGGAGATACTTCTTAGTTTGTATGTGTTTGATAGTTTTGTATGCTTGGATATTTTAGACAGAGATCGTCCTCTCAAAGATTTTCTTGGGAAAACGGACCTCAGCGCTGCCCACGTCCAGTCTGCCCAAAACTCCTCCCAACCCGAGCAGAGTCGACCACCTCATCGTCAACCAGATGAGGGAGCAAGCGCGGGTGAGAGCCGTTCCTTCTGCATTCATTTGATTTTGAAATATTACAACTTCAAACGATCAGTCAATAAAATTTTACTTTTCAGAGCAGTTTTCATTAATAAAAATGCAACTACGTGCTTTACATTTTGGTTAATAACATATCCATTTGCTCATTACCAATTAACTCGACCACCAAATAGACCCACACCAATCCACTCATATATACATAAGACACCTACACACATACTGTTTACGCACACACTCACATCAAATGGGTAAAACCATGAAAAGATATGGGGATGCTTGCCGGAGTAGCCAGCTAAAGAAGCATCAAGTTTGACTTTTAACATGGCAAAGAGACTGTTTCCGTTATTGTTTTGACATTCGTAAGTTGCATCCATGTTGTAGAATTCTATTTCACTCAGAAGGCAGGTGCCGATAGAACTCTATAGGAAAGAAGCAATTTCCGAAGGACATGAAAAGTACCAAATCCTTAGTTCATAGACTTCACACAGTACAAAACAAAAAAAATTCTGGACAATAGTTATGAGCTTTACAAACCTTCCATATTATTTGTCTGAAATACATTATAATATTAATATGGCTTGAGTTACCATGATTACCAGGAAAGATTTTTCAGCTCCAGCTCTCCACCACAATGTTAAACTATTCAAGCTACTGGACATACTGCCTGCTTTCCAAAACAGATTTGCATGAATCAATGAACGAAGTAAAGTCTGAATCTCTGCTGCAGGTGTCTTCTCTTCTGGACAAGATGGAGTGTCTGTCCAGTGTGGCCCTAAACCCCAACATCTACAACACTCTGACCAAACACCACATGGCGATCTGTGTGACCAGCGCTCGCCGCAAAGAGGAGATCCTCGGCATGTCCCAGAACCAGCACCAACGAGGCCATTTCACCGACGACAGAGGTACATCCCGGGTTCATACAGTCATAGAAAACCTGGACAAGTCTAAAAAGTGATAGATCTAGCTTCTAAGGCCCTGGAAAAGTTTTTATGTGGGTTATGTAAAAATGTATATTGTGTTATGGATTGAAAAGTCTGGAATACTTAATTTACAAATGCATAAGATAACTTTCAAACAGGCAAAGAACTTTGTGTGTATACCTCTCAATTAAGAAATGCTGTTGATGTGAAATGAAAAATGAACCTGAAATACAGGAACGATAATTAAGTGTAATTTAATGAAATAAAACCAAATCCATGGTAACAATTAACAAGCGAGGGTGGAGACTTCTAATCACGGTAAATAAAGTATTTTCTGCATCTTGGACTATCTTTGACAATAAATGGCTTCACACAACCACTAACAATATGTGGTACAATTCTTTTCACATCATTTCATAATCATCAATTTATGCCCAAAAAAAATCAACATTCCTAAAACTAGTATTTTACTTTCCACATTGTCTTTGCTTTGTCTGTCTGTATTTCTGTTATTTTCACAGTTTTATTGACATTATAACATTTTTTCCTGGGTGTGTAAACTTTGATATCTTTCATATTTCGACTTCATGTCTGTCTCCTTTCCCCGTGTCTCAGACTCCATGATGCTGGTGCTGGCCCTGAAGGATCTCACCGTCTCCACCCGAAAACTGCGTACGGCCGTGTGGTGCGCTCTGCAGACCAGCCTCCCGCAGCCCAGACCCGAGACCCCCGTCCCAGAAGCCCCTCGAGACCAGACCAGTCCTGCTCTGTGCGAGGGCTACTCCTACAGGATCTGAGGAGCCACCACCGCGGTCTCACCTCTGCTCCATTCACATAAACAATAACGCAAACACGAACATGCAGGGAGTCCGTTTGTTGTGGTTAATTTCCTGGACAGCTGGTTTTATGAATGGGGTTTAAGATTCAAGTTGTATTTATGTCTCCATTACTTCAGCTCCATTCACATAAACATTAGCGATGGGGGGAGCAAACACAAACATGCAGGCAGTCCGTTTGTTGTGGTTGATTCCCTGGATAGCTGGTTATTATAAAATGGGGTTTTAAGATTCTTGTTTTGTCTCCATCACACTGGGCTTACAAACTCAGTTATAGGTGTTGTTCATTTATCTGTGGACCTTTGGTAATTTCACACATACACAAACAAACTGTATTTAACCCCAAATGAGTCCAGTCCATTGCACCAACTGCCTTTTCATTTTATGTTTGATAATGGGACGTTAGTGAGTCCCAGGTGGATGTCGTCTATGAATGAAATGTGCTGTTTCTCAAGGAATTTTCAGAAATTAGTGTCTTTGTTTCCAAATTAATTCAATTTATTTCATTATTTAAGGAGACTATTTATGTGGGAAGGGCCTCTCCTCTTCCTTATTTATTATTATAAACTTATTATACTTATTCGTCCATCTAAAACATTCAATCATTCAGCGGTAATTCAGAATTATTTGCCAAAATGCATGTGTTGTCATGGTTTCAGTTTGAAGCCATTTTGAAAAAGTTCAATGTTATAATAATCACAATTCTACTTCATCAAATGTGTTAAATACTGTATCAAATGTGTTACAGTATTTACTTTGTGTTGATTTAGTGTGTAGAAAATAGATTTTAATGGTGATTCGTATTCCAACTGTTCGTATTTTACCTTTCTCATCATTGTATTAAAGCCGTTCGCAGCAGCAGCTCTGCACAGCATCAAAGTATTTATAAAACCCTTATGGTAATTATCGCCTTGTTCCTCGAGTTCATGTATTTGTTCTGAAAACGCATTTTAAATAAATCAGACCATTGACTTTGTTTTTGTGCTTTATTTAAAAATTATGTGGCAATGAACGTACAAATTGTGAAACGTGTTTTGAGGTATGATTATGTAACCGCTCTTGCGTTTTCTCACGGATCAAGAAACAACTGGCATTCTTTTCACACCATTTCTTCTCTTCTAGAATCCGGGGGTGTCAAACTTGTTTCAGGAATGGCTTGTATGGCTGCAGGTTTTCACGCCAACCAACTTCCAAGTTAAGATTGGACTCACTGTTGTGCTCCTGCTTGGTTGGAATGAAAACCTGCAGTCACACTGGGTCTGTAAGGACCGGTTTGACACTCCTGAACTAGACCCACTGTCTATACTCTCGTCATGAATGAAGAAATAATTAATCTCCATGGAGACTTGTTTTAAAACATGGCTTAAATATAATTACTTTTTATTAGTCTTCATATAGGCCTGTCACAGTAAATTTGACTAATGGATACAAGTCATAGATGTGATTATTTGCTTTCCTAAACATTGCAGCTAAGTCTTAGAAGCTAAGTTTTAAAATGATACAAGTTGCATGCAAGCCCTTCAGTATTCAACCAATGACATGTATTTGTATATGAATGATCTTATTAAACAAAACAATAAAGAATGACAATATGTTGATTCACAACTTAGTCAGCCTTACATTTTATTGCAATTTATAATTTATTGCAATTTCTTTGAAAATATGTCTGGAAAGAGACAAAAGATTGTCTTGATTGTTACATTTTTTTGTTTTAAATTGGTTATTTAGGTTGTTCTCATTGTTCCTCATCCTGAAACCTGTGGCTATGAAACTTGTGTTTAAAAGCAAGAAAACATTGCACACTCAAAATGCAAATGTCCAAGATGTTTGTTCCGTGACGTTACGGCCATTATAGCCTTCTCCAAATCTCGTTTCCTTTTTTTTCCTTTGGACCTTGGAAAAATAAATCTTGTTCTGATGAAGGCTACAATGGCTGTAATCAATGTGTTTTGGATGGCTGCATTTTGAGGGTGCAATACTTCTTTTTGAAATGGCTTCTTTTGCATTTGCACTTGAAGATCTTTTTAGAGAGCTATATCTGCACTTTATGAATTTTTATTTTCATGTCATGTTATTTTCTTCCTCCTGCAGGTGGTGGGTCCACAGGAAGATGGCTTCTCCGTCATCGAAGACATGGCCTTGGTCTTTCAGGGGGAATTTTTTTAATTCATATAACATGTAACAAAAAATAAGACCAGTGTTTTCAGTGACCGATTTTAACCTATTCCATAACATTTTAGTTTACAAATGTCTAATAGCATAGCCCTCTTCCATAAGTTTAGTATATTTCACAAAAATTCTTTCCTCCACTGGTTTATACTTTCAAAGAACTAGGGTCTTGTTCACGAGGTCAGTTCTTGTGAAAATGTTTTTCATCACGAAGCATGTTGAAGCTCAGTTTGGTCAGGACTATTGTAGCTGGTGGATTATTTACATAGTATGCATGTTTTTAGTGGCAGGGGAAAGTGAAGGACCCAGGGGAATCCTACGCAGGCACGGGGAGAACATGCAAACTTCACCTAGAAAGACCCTGTTCCGACCAGGATTCAAACCCTTCACTCAGCCATTGTTCCACCCAGATCTTTGACCCATTTTGTGTTTCACAATTGTGCATTTCCTTAACATTTTGCAGACTTCCCATTCCAAATAAAATCATATAATAACAAACTAGTCGTAGGAGATGTTAACTATTTACAGTTTATTTAAAAACAGAAGCGACAGACACAGATCAGACCAATGAGCTCGGGCCAAAGCCTCCTGCGAGCCTCAACTTTGAATCCTCTAGAGAAGAGGTGTCAAACTGGTCCTCAGAGGCAGCCACACCTGCAGCCACACCTGCCCTCTCTGGACCTGGTCTGAAACCCCCTGTCTCTGAGTCTGTTACAAATTTGTCAAAAACACTGGAGCCTAAAGGGTCAAAGGTGAAAAGCCTGAATCTACTTTTAGATAAAAATGAAAACGTGAGTGGGCGGCGTCTGTGATGTCATCTTTTCGTCTCAAAGCGGCTTCTGATTGGTGGATGATGAGGTCAATATTAACAGTTTGTTTGACAGAGACTGAGCAGAGAGCAAAGTCCCCAAAGACAACTCTCTTGCCATGGAGATGAGGAGTCTTTGGTTGCCATGGCGACATCACGTGAAGAGATCAAAGTCCAGCCTTTTGGAGTTATAGAACTGGGATCCCTCCTGGTCCAAACGGCGGCAGTAGACTCCAGAGGAGAAGTAACCTTCATCCACCCAACCCTGAGGAGGAGAGGAGGCGATGAGGGGAGAAGGTGAGGAGGAGGAGGCGGAGGAGGTGAAGAGGAGAGAGGACACTCACCTGCATCTGCTGACTGCTGAACGGACCAAAGACCTCTGCTTCGTCCTGGTTTTCCCAGCGGTACTCCCACTGCACCTCCCCACTAACTACACACAAACACACACAGAGAGAGAGACTTCATTAGACTAAAGTTACAGACCCCAGCTTTAAACGTGTTATTTATGAGACTAAAATAACGCACGCACCCATTCACACACTCTAACACACTCTCTCTCACACATACAGTATCTTGTCTGTCTTGTTGTATCTGTATTTGTTTGTAAGTCTGCACCATAGACTGTAAATATTAACGGACGTAGTCCCGCCTATCTCCACCGTTCAAACAAATGGGCCAAAAAATGTGCTCTACTGGAGCTATCCAAAATGGCCGTGAGTGGTCCCGCCCAAAAGAAAATTGTGAAAATCTGCGCATGCGTCAGCCGGCGCAAGCTCCATTCATTTGAACGAGAGACTTCAAAAATTCACAGCGAGTAAACTAGAGTGGTCCAAAAAAATTCACCCCCCTCAGCATTGACACACATGTGGAACAGAACTTTGGGCCAAGAGCCAACTTTTGGACCATCCTGTAAAGACGTTTTCGAGAGGTAAAATAATGCTATATGTTAGCATTGGCTAATTCTTATTCCGGGTCCACCCCCATCGGCCCGGGGTGGGATTGCAAGCATGTCAGCGCACATCATTTTGGCCACTTTTGAGCCAGGACCCGCCCCCACTGGTCTGCACTTGTATGTCAATATCTTAAAAATAAATTATTATTTTTTTAAATATGAGACTAAAGTTACAACCCCCAGCTTTAAACATGTGTTTTTTTATTATACTAAAGTCACATCCCTGAGGTTTAACCTTGAGGATATGTACCTTTGGTCTCGTCTTCATCCTCCTCCGTCTTCGTGTCCAGTTTCTCATCAAACTTCTCTCCGAACATGTCGAGCTCGTCGTCCTCTTCGTCTCCTGGCTCAGCTTTCCTCTTCACCCCTGAGCGCTTTAACCTGAGAGCACAAGACCAGATCTACAGCCTCAGCCCTGGGTCTACAGCCTCAGCCCTGGGTCTACAGCCTCAGCCCTGGGTCTACAGCCTCAGCCCTGGGTCTACAGCCTCAGCCCTGTCTCACCTGTAGGTCAGCTTCTCAAAGGTCTGCTGGTAGATCTCGAAGTCTCCTGCTCCCACCAGGCGGTCTGCCAGAGCCGTCAGTTGGTCCAGTTTGTCTGTGTCTCTTTGGGTTGACTCCTCTGAGTCTGAGGCAAGCTTCTTCTTACTCCTCTTTAGACCCCCGAGTCTACACACAAACACATATATAGTTACACAGTCCTTATCATGTCTGTATCTCTCTGTGTGTCTGTCTGTCTCTGTGTGTCTGTGTGTCTGTGTGTGTCTCTGTCTCTCTCTGTCTGTCTGTGTAAGTAAGTAAGTAAGTAAGTAAGTTTTTATTTATATACCGCCTTTTCACTGCAGGTCTGAGTCTCAAAGCGGTTTACAATTGTTAATTTTGGGCATTAGTCTCTCACTCCACTCAGAGATGGGAGCAGGGCCAGTACAGGAGGCGCATGCTAGAACTATTGGACATGTTTTTAGTGGTAGGGGAAACCAGAGTACCCGGAGGAAACCTACGCAGACACGGGGAGAACATGCAAACTCCACTCAGAAAGGCCCTGGTCCGACCGGGATTCGAACCCAGGACCTTCTTGCTGAGAGGCGAGAGTGCTATCCACTCAGCCACCGTGTGTGTGTCTGTCTGTCTGTGTGTACCTTCTGATGCCTGCAGCCACAGTCTCTCCAGGCTTGAGCAGATGGAGCAGACTCTCGGTCAGTTGTGTCCGCGACAGTGAGGCCAGAGGGTCCTCCTCCTGCACCTCCTCTCTCTCCTCCTCCTCCTCTTCCTCGCTCGCTCCTCGTTCAGCCTCCCTCTTCCTCTCCTCTTCAGCCTCATCTTCGTCGCCCACTCGTCGTTTGCGTTTCGCTCCCAGACCCTTCTTCTTCTTCTTAAAGGGCTGCTCTTTCACCCGCACCTGAGGCACACTGTGGTCATGCACTTCTCCTTTCTGAGAAAATCTCTGGTCTGGCCCTCTCTGGTCTGGCCCTCTCTGGTCTGGCCCTCTCTGGTCTGGCCCTCTCTGGTCTGGCTCATTTCTGGTCTCGCTCTCTCTCGTCTCACTCTCTCTAGTCACCTTTAGTCACTCTCTAGTCTCCCTCTAATCTCCCTCTAGTCTCCCTCTAGTCTCCCTCTAGTCTCCCTCTAGTCTCCCTCTAGTCTCCCTCTAGTCTCCCTCTAGTCTCCCTCTAGTCTCCCTCTATTCTTGCTCTAGTCTCCCTCTGGTCTCCTACCCAGTCGATGTTGTCCAGCCAGTTGTCCCGTATCTGCGCCTCCTTCTTGACAAAGTAGTTCCCCTCGGAGTCGAAGTGTCCCTCCTCCATTTCCTCCTTCAGGTTAAAGGGGGTGATGGACACACCCTCGTCAAAGTCTATGGTGGCATTCTCCTGACCTGCAGGAACGATGACCGGGATGAGCACCATGAAAACACTCTGCTCCCTCTCCACATTCAACCACATCTACGGACTAATGTGTTTGTTATCATTGCATTTCCTGTGATTCGCTGATCTGATGTTGGGGAATCGTCAGCTTTGTAAAGTCCACAGAGATAGCTGCTGTTGTGATTTAGCGCATTAAATAAATACATTGAATAGAAATGAATTAAGTTGAAGATTAGTAAAGACCAGAAAGAAACCAGAGAGAGACAAGAGAGAGACTAGAGAGACACATAGATGTTAAAGGGAAACCCGCTTTAAAAACTGGGGTTTGAGTTCTCACCTTCCACGTCGTCGTCGGCCAGAATTTCATATTTGCTGCTGGAGTCTTCGGCCTCCTCCTCTTCATCACTGTCCAGGGAGTGTTTCCCTTTGAACCTGGAGCCAGCGCCTGTCAGAGGCTCCACACTCTGCTGAGAGACCAGCAACATCAGATCAGAGAGAGACACCAGAGAGAGAGACCAGAGAGAGATCAGAGAGCCGTTGCCAAGGGGAGAAGGACAGAGTAGAGTTCTGGTATGTACTGGTGTTTGTACCTTCTTTGTGGGCAGCTCGTCTTCTAGATCGAACTCTCCGCCACCGTCATCAAATGTCACTTTTCTCTTTGACATTTTGCTAAAAAAGATTCACATCAAAGACCTGACAGTGAACACATGAACTGCACAATTAAATCCAGAAATTCTTTACAAACAGTAACTGGACCAAAGCAAAATGTCAGCTGAATATGTGAACAACCCTTTTTAATTTAAGTTTAGGTTGAAGATCTGTTTGACTATGTCTGGTCCCTTTCAGGTCTCCCTTTCTGGTATCTTCCTGGTCACACACCCCCTCTCTCTAGGGTCTCTCTTTCTGGTCCCTCGCTGGTAATAAATCACTACATAATAATGACTTCATGGCGCTTTTTCAAGTGGAACAAATTTAAGTTTTTATTCTGAACAAAATGAGACTCAAACACACATCCATGTCACTGTGGATCCCCGGGGAACAGAAAGCGCCTCTAGTGTTTTTGAAGGGAGGTTAGCAGTAGCATTAGGAGCTAACAACAGCACAAAACAAGACTAGCTAAAGCCGCACAAGGCCGGGATTGCGCATGCTCAGAGGACACACAGAATACACTCAGTAACATGTCACAGCAGGAAAAACAGTGATTATCGTAAAGAATGACGCAGAAAACAGACAAACCTGCTACAAATGTGCGAACGATGTGGGCTGATACACTTCCGGTGTACTGGGCAACTTCCGGTGGGAACGAGTGTGACGTCAGCGCCTCTAGCGACAAAACAAGAATTCTGCAACTTCACATAATCATACTTTCATAATTTATTTTTTCTTCACATTCACAAATGTCTCCATCGTCACTTCAGTCAAATGCATTAGGCCAAACATCACTGAGTCTGAGTGAGGAGCACAGGGACTGGCCTCCTGCTGGGACTCTGAGGAGCACAGGGACTGGCCTCCTGCTGGGACTCTGAGGAGCACAGGGACTGGCATCCTGCTGGGACTCTGAGAAGGGCCAAGACTGTATAGTGGAGTATTTTTTTTAAATATATGTATACACAAATACCCTGATCTTTCGCTCTCTGGTCTCTCCCTCTGGTCTCTCCCTCTGGTCTCTCTCTGGTTTCTCGCTCTGGTCTCCCTCTGGTCTCTTTCTGGTTTCTCTCTGTGATCTCTCTCTGGTTTCTGTCTCTTGTCTCTCTCTGGTCTCACTTACACAGGTTTCTGGTTTCAGGAAATGCGTCGGCTGCATTTATATTTTAGCAGAAACACGAGAAGATTCCACTTCTGCAAACTCCAACAGAGCAACAGAGGTGAGGAGGTGGAGGAGCACGAGGAGTTTGATGATGGAGCAGACATCAGGCCTGGGACTCCCATCTGCATCAAGGTATTTATCCTGTTCAGGATTTCATAAGATTTAAGAAATATTGTATTTATTATCAGGATCAAGAGGACCAGAGAGAAAGACCTGAGAGAGACCAGAGAGAGACCAGAGAGAGACCAGAGAGAGAGACCAGAGAGAGAGACCAGAGTGATAGACCAGAGAGAGAGATCAGAGAGAGCTGATGCTGATCTGTGTGGCAGTTTCCGTTTCATGTGGATTGTTCTAGAGAAATTATGTGTGTTGATAATAATCTAATGACTTCTGATTCTTGATTCTAAAGTTCATGTTTTTTTTTTTCAAAGTTATAAAAACTGGTTTCATTTCTGCGTTTATCGTAAAGTTCTGAAACCAGAAGTGAAATAGTGACATGTGAGTCTCCCGCAGCCACAGCCGCCTTAGAGCAGGCTGAGGGACAGTCTGCTGCAGCCACAGCCGCCTTGGGGCAGGCTGAGGGACAGTCTGCTGCAGCCACAGCCGCCCTGGGGCAGGTTGAGGGACAGTCTGCTGCATCTACAGCTGCCCTGTAGAAGGCTGAGGGAAATTCCAGTGTTTGTGAAAAGCCAGTAGAGGCCAGCACTCTCACACTGAGACTCTCACACATCATCACCATAATTATTTTTAACAGTTGTGACTGCATGACTATAGTTGTAAACAGTTGTGACTGCATGACTATAGTTGTAAACAGTTGTGACTGCATTACTATAGTTGTAAACAGTTGTGACTGCATGACTATAGTTATAAACAGTTGTGACTGCATGACTATAGTTATAAACAGTTGTGACTGCATGACTATAGTTATAAACAGTTGTGACTGCATGACTATAGTTGTAAACAGTTGTGACTGCATGACTATAGTTATAAACAGTTGTGACTGCATGACTATAGTTATAAACAGTTGTGACTGCATTACTATAGTTGTAAACAGTTGTGACTGCATGACTATAGTTGTAAACAGTTGTGACTGCATGACTATAGTTGTAAACAGTTGTGACTGCATGACTATAGTTATAAACAGTTGTGACTGCATGACTATAGTTATAAACAGTTGTGACTGCATTACTATAGTTGTAAACAGTTGTGACTGCATTACTATAGTTGTAAACAGTTGTGACTGCATGACTATAGTTATAAACAGTTGTGACTGCATGACTATAGTTATAAACAGTTGTGACTGCATTACTATAGTTGTAAACAGTTGTGACTGCATGACTATAGTTGTAAACAGTTGTGACTGCATGACTATAGTTGTAAACAGTTGTGACTGCATTACTATAGTTGTAAACAGTTGTGACTGCATGACTATAGTTGTAAACAGTTGTGACTGCATGACTATAGTTATAAACAGTTGTGACTGCATGACTATAGTTATAAACAGTTGTGACTGCATTACTATAGTTATAAACAGTTGTGACTGCATGACTATAGTTATAAACAGTTGTGACTGCATGACTATAGTTATAAACAGTTGTGACTGCATGACTATAGTTATAAACAGTTGTGACTGCATTACTATAGTTGTAAACAGTTGTGACTGCATTACTATAGTTGTAAACAGTTGTGACTGCATTACTATAGTTATAAACAGTTGTGACTGCATGACTATAGTTGTAAACAGTTGTGACTGCATGACTATAGTTGTAAACAGTTGTGACTGCATTACTATAGTTGTAAACAGTTGTGACTGCATTACTATAGTTATAAACAGTTGTGACTGCATGACTATAGTTATAAACAGTTGTGACTGCATGACTATAGTTATAAACAGTTGTGACTGCATGACTATAGTTGTAAACAGTTGTGACTGCATTACTATAGTTGTAAACAGTTGTGACTGCATTACTATAGTTATAAACAGTTGTGACTGCATGACTATAGTTATAAACAGTTGTGACTGCATGACTATAGTTGTAAACAGTTGTGACTGCATGACTATAGTTATAAACAGTTGTGACTGCATGACTATAGTTATAAACAGTTGTGACTGCATTACTATAGTTGTAAACAGTTGTGACTGCATTACTATAGTTGTAAACAGTTGTGACTGCATTACTATAGTTATAAACAGTTGTGACTGCATTACTATAGTTGTAAACAGTTGTGACTGCATTACTATAGTTATAAACAGTTGTGACTGCATGACTATAGTTATAAACAGTTGTGACTGCATTACTATAGTTATAAACAGTTGTGACTGCATGACTATAGTTGTAAACAGTTGTGACTGCATGACTATAGTTATAAACAGTTGTGACTGCATGACTATAGTTATAAACCAGTGTCTCCCAAAGTGGGGTCCGCGGCCCCCTGGTGGGCCGCGAGGGTACTGCAGGGGGGCCGCGGGAGGTCATAAAAAAAATTAAAAAAATAATATTATTATTTAATGTTAAATTTATAATGTTTTGTTTGTAATATTAAAATATTTGTGTTCATTATTTGACTTGAATAATCCACTGTAATCATTTTTGTATTACAATGTTTGTAGCAGAGGCTATTTCCCCAAAATAAAATAACCAGAAGAGCCTATTCTTAATGTTGTCTTCTTGGTTATTATTTTGGGGGGGCCACACAGACCCGTCAGATTTTTAAGGGGGCCTCGGTGTTACTGAGTTTGGGAATGGCTGTTATAAACAGTTGTGACTGCATTACCATATAAACAGCTATTGTTGTGTCAGATGAAGGTCCACACCAAGGTCCTAGTGCACTACCTCTCATGTCCTTCCCCCGTGGATAAAGAGGGCTTCCTCTTCAAGAAGGTCAGTGTTCAAACCATAAATAACACTGTGTTGTGTGCAATGTGTTGGGTGTTATATTTGTTTAATGTGTGTGTGTGTGTGTGTGTGTGTGTGTGTGTGTGTGTGTGTGTGTGTGTGTGTGTGTGTGTGTGTGTGTGTGTGTGTGTGTGTGTGTGTGTGTGTGTGTGTGTGTGTGTGTGTGTGTGTGTGTGTGTGCGTGCTTGTGTGCATGTGTGTGTGTCAGAAGCAGCACAGTGCAGTGTTCCGTCGTCGCTGGTTCGTGTTGAAGGGAAACGTGTTGTTCTACCAGTCACGTCCTGCGGACCGACAGACTGGGGGCGCCATCGCTCTGGAGGGAAGCAGCGTGAAGCCAGAGGGAGAACGCGGCTTCAGCCTGGTGTTCGAGGGTCTGCGCACATACAGGCGAGACCACCCCCTCACTCCGTGCTCACTCTGTGCTCACCCCATTGACTGTAAATATTAACGGACGTAGTCACACCTATATCCGTCGTTCAAACTAATGTACCACCACTTTCGCCGTCTATGGGCAGTTTCAAAATAACCGCGGGGGCAGGAAAATGTGAAAAAACGCATGCATGCGTTGGCCGGCACAAGCCCACAGCGGCTAAACTAGAGTGGCCCAAAAAAATATACTCCCCTCAGCATTGACACACACATCTGGAACGTAGCGTTGGGCCAAGAGCCGACTTTTGGACCATCCTGTGAAGCCATCTTCGAGAGGTAAGAAGATGCTAAACATTAACATTGAGTAATTCTTATACAGGGTCCACCGCCATAGGCCCGGGGTGGTATTGCAAGTATGTCGTATGCACGTGATTTTTGACATTTTTGCGCCGGGACCCGCCCTCACTGGCTCACTCCCTTATTCTGTGCTGAATCTGTCAACCCCGCACTCTGTCTTCACCCAATCACTCTGTGCTGAATCTGTCACCCCCTCACTCTGTCCTCACCCCCTCACATCTGTGACCTATGTGCAGGTTTTGTGTGGGTGAACGCGGGCGTCGAGACGAGTGGGTCAAATGTCTGCTGACCGCCACTCACTGCTACATGTCTCTGTTACTGAGAGACTTGGGTCTACAGTACCATGGTGAGATACCAGATACCAGAGACAGACCAGAAAGAGACTAGAAAGAGATCATAGAGAGACCAAAGTATTGTCCCTGGTGTGACATGTGTCTCTCCTGCAGCGGCGAGACTGCACTCCGGTGACTCCTCCCACATGAGCAGTGACTTGGTGTTGACTCCGCCCCCAGCCTCTAGCCACTCCCCTCAGTCGGCCTCCAGCGTCGCCGAAGTAACCAGAGCCACGCCCAGGAAGTCCCCGAACGTGTGGGCGCGCCGCCATGCCCACGTCACTCCCCTCAACGGACCTGGGCCCCTGTCCAGTGACTGGCCCCCAGTGGAGCTGAGAGAGTTCAGGGACATACACCAGTTCTATGGGAGAGAGGTGGAGAAAGCGAGGAAGGAGTGGAGAAAGGGTGAGGAAGGGGGAGGAGAAGGGGGTGAGGAGGACAGAGCTCTGATTGAACTCTTCTGAATTTTGGACTCTCACGGGCTCAATGCTAACCCGCAAGCTGCATCAGTCCATGAGAGCTGATTACATGTGTTTGTGTGCATGTGAAGATCTTTGGCATGGTGTGGTTGTATATGTGCTATATAAATAAAGTTGATGTTGATATTCCATAAGGACAATGTGTCAGAGCTACAATGGAATGGTTTAAAAAAAAATATTCATGTGCTAGAATGGCCCTCTCTGGTCTCTCTCTCTGGTCTTTCTCTGGTCTCTCCCTGGTCTCTACCTGGTCTCTCTCTGGTCTCTCTAATCTTTCTCTGTTCTCTCTCTGATCTTTCTCTGGTCTCTCTCTCTCTCTGGTTTCTCTCTCTCTCTCTCTGGTCTCTGTGGCTGATTTACGCAAGCGATGAGTGACACATTCTGAGTGTGAGAAGAGGTCAGCTCTGCAGGGGCCCCATACATTCCACACACACAGAGAAATACACACAGATACGCATGCACGTACACAAATACGCACACACACAAACACATACACAGAAAAACAGTGGTAAAGTGGAAAAGTCTCAATCTTAATCCTGTTAGATCTGAGTGCTGCCATAACTGTCGACCATGAGATCCTCTTACAGAGACTAGAGGACTGGGTTGGCGTCGCTGGCACCGCCCTAAGTTGGTTTAGGTCTTACCTTGAAGACAGGAAGTACTTTGTGGAGATTGGAAACTGTGTCTCAGATCATATGGCCCTGACCTGTGGAGTACCACAGGGGTCGATCCTGGGACCTCTTCTGTTCAATCTCTACATGCTGCCGTTAGGTCAGTTAATACGCAGAAACAAAGTGTCCTATCATAACTATGCAGACGACACTCAGATCTATGTCTCACTGACTGCAGGAGAACATGGACCAGTGGACTCACTCCTTCACTGTATCCAACAGATCAGTGAGTGGATGCAAAATAACTTTCTCCAGCTAAACACAAACAAAACCAATATGATTTTCTTTGGTCCCCAGAAACAAATAGCCACATCAAATCAGTAACATCAGCAGCTTTTTACCACTGAAAAAACATAGTGTCTAAAGCAGACTTGGAGATTCTTATCCATGCATTTGTCTCCAGTAGGTTAGACTACTGCAATGGCCTGCTCACAGGTCTGTCCAAACAGGCTGTAAATCAGCTGCAGTACATTCAAAATGTAGCAGCTTGAGTCCTGACTAGAACCAGGAAGTACGACCACATTAGTCCGGTCCTCAGGTCTCTGCACTGGCTTTCTTTGGCTCAGAGAATAGACTTTAAAACAGCTCTGCTTGTGTACAAGTCTCTCCATGGCCTCGCACCAAAATATATTAGTGACATGTTAGTCCCATATGAACCAGCCCGGACTCTGAGGAGCACAGGGACTGGACTCCTGCTGGTCCCAGCATCAGAACTAAACATGGGGAGGCTGCATTTCAGATTCATGCTGCTAAATTCTGGAACTATCTTCCTGAAATGGTGAGAAAGGCCTCCTCTCTGACAATGTTTAAAACCAGGTTCATAACAGTTTTGTCTGTCCTCTCACCGTTTCTCTTCACCATCTACACCTCTGACTTCACAGACGACACACACAGCTGTCACCTGCAGAAGTTCTCCTACGACTCCGCCATCGTGGGCTGTGTGTCGGAAGGGAACGAACTGGAATATCGGTCGCTTATCAAGGACTTTGTCAACTGCTGCGAGCGCAACCACTTGTGCTTGAACACCAGTAAGACCAAGGAGATTGTCATCAATTTCAGGAGAAAACCACTTTCCCACATGCTGCTGAACATCCAGGGGGAGGACATTGAGCTGGTGGACAGCTTCAAGTACCTGGGTGTTCACATTAACAATAAACTGGACTGGTCACAAAACACTAACGCTCTGTACAAGAAGGGCAAAAGTCGCCTCTTCCTTCTGAGGAGGCTGAGGTCCTTCGGAGTGAGCAGGCCTCTGCTCAGGACTTTTTATGACTCTGTGGTAGCCTCAGCCATATACTACGCTGCCGTGTGCTGGGCCCCGGGCAGCACAGAGCGGGACAGGAGCAGACTGAACAAGCTGGTCAGGAGGGCCAGCTCCACTCTGGGCTGCTCCCTGGACTCTGTGGAGGAGGTGAGGGACAGGAGGGTGCTAGTCAAAGCCACCTCCATCATGAACAACACCTCCCATCCACTGCACAGGACTGTAGAGGAGCTGAGGAGCTCCTTCAGTGGAAGATTGAGGCACCCTCAGTGTAAGAAGGAGCGCTACTGCAGGGCCTTTATCCCCACCTGCTGTCAGCTGTCAGACTGTACAATAAGTCACTTTAAGTCACTGTATAAGACTGAAAAAACCTGCAATAAAAAAAGCATATCTTATCTTATCTTATCTTTAGCTGTGCATACAACTATGGGATTTTATATTTTTATCTTTCTCTTTAGTGTACTGTGAATATTTATGATAAGAGTTCCTTTATTTGTCCCACAGTGGGGAAATGTTTATGTTGCAGCGCACATACACGACAGTATCTTATTTTGTTCAGCCTTGTGTATGAATTGTGCTATACAACTATACTTGCCGTTCCTTACCTCTCTTTGGGGTGGTCTCTCTTTGGGGTGGCCTCTCTTTGGGGTGGCCTCTCTTTGGGGTTGTAACTCTCTCTGATGAGTGTTGGTTTCTTCTACAGTAAGATGAGAATAAACACATGTGATTTACAGTCTGTGATTCTCAGTCAGACCTGGACTTGGACCTGGGCTTGGTAACTGAGACTGGACCTGGGTCACAGCTGCCCTGAGGCACACTAACAGAAGAGAGGCCACCAGTCTGTGCCATCGGCCCTTCCCACCACCACCACCAACCATTCACACAAACCAGACTCAATCTAATGTGGGTGAAGTGTCTTGCCAAAGGACACAATGACACTGTGACACCTGTGTTCCCAGAGGTCTCCCATCACTGCACTAACCAGGCCCTGCCCCGCTTAGCCATAGAGGTCTGACAGGATCTTTCACCTGCAGGTGGCGACACACGAACAAACCCAGAATTTGGACCAGTTCTGGACCCAGTCTGGTCCCGGTCTGGTTCCAGTCTGGGGTCCCAGGGGTTTGGGTTCTATTTCAGTGGTGTCAGCTGTGGAATCCCAGAGCTCCTGAGAATGTCCTCCAGCAAAACAGCATAATCCTCTGTGTCTAATGAACCAGGACCAGGACCAGGACAGAGACCAGGACTAGGACAAGGACAGAGACCAGGACCAGAGAGACAAAATACCAGAGGGACCAGAGATCAGAGAGAGACAAAAGAGACCAGAGAAAGAGCAGAGAGAGACCAGAGAGAGATCCGAGGGATCAGAGAGACCAGAGAGAGACTGGAGAGATCAGAGGGACCAGAGAGAGACCAGAGAGATCAGAGGGACCAGAGAGACCTGCAATAGACCCGAGAGAGACCAGAGAGAGACCAGAGAGAGACCAGAGAGAGACCAGAGAGAGACCAGAGAGAGACCAGAGAGAGACCAGAGAGAGACCAGAGAGAGACCAGAGAGAGACCAGAGAGAGACGAGGGAGAGACCAGGGAGGGACCAGAAAAAGATCAGTGAGACCAAAGAGAGACCAGAGAGAGACTAGAGGGAGACCGAAGAGACCAGAGAGAGATACCAGTGTAAACTGCAAAAATATTTTTGCTGTTTGTAACTGAATCGAAGACTGGAAATATGAAACAAGTCTAAACTCTAAACTCAGAGATACTCAGAGTTTTACAGTGTGCTTGTATTTGTGGCTGAAGTGTTTGGCACAGTGTGGAAATCAAACCCTCGGCCTCGGTTACATGTCGTTAAATGGGTTTCATGATTCGGAGCTGGAAGTTCCCAGAAGTTACATCATCTGGTCTCTCTAGTCTCTCTCTGGTCTCTCTCTCTGGTCTCTCTCTGGTCTCTCTCTGGTCTCTCTCTGGTCTCTCTCTGGTCTCTCTCTGGTCTCTCTCTGGTCTCTCCCTGGTCTCTCCCTGGTCTCACACTGCTGGACACCTGAATTTCTCCTACGGGGATCAATAAAGTATCTATTTATGTATCTAGCTATCGCCTGGTCTCGCTCTGGTCTCGCTCTGGTCTCTTAAGGCGATGGAATAAACTTATAAATAAATCCTGCAGACTTTGATTTGATGGAGTCAGAAATAACCTGAGCTCAGATTCACTTCACACACGAATCATCAAACCAGGTCATACCCGGTCCCAGACCAAACCCGGTCTAGGTTCAAAAGGAGGTCCCAGACCAGTGTCGCCTTGCCCCTATACCGACAGTGGTATCGGGTCGATACCATAGGCTTGTACTCATACTCATACCATACTCATACCAACCGCTTGAGTTAGGGTTTTGAAAAAAATTGTATCAGTGCATCCCTAGAATTATCCAACAGTAGATTTCTCACTCCTCACAATCTGCCAAACAGTGTCAACAGTACGGGAGAAAAACTAGTGGCCAATTTTGAAAAACCAAAACTACGAACATATATTCAGTTTAAAAAAAATTACAAACAGAGTTTTACGTTACAAATCCAGGAATCAAAGATATTTGATGGCACAGATACGAACCAGAATTCTTCCAATTTAGGAACAGGGAGGTTGTGCAGACCCCTGAGGAGAAGAGACTGTGTGTGTTTGAACTGAGTGGAAATCAAAGTGCATTTTTTGTTATATTGTCCTTTTTACGATAAATTTATAAACGCATTGTTTCATAAAACAAAACCCAGGATCCTGAAATGTTATGTGGCAGTGACGACGTCAAAATGAATGTTAAATTGTCTTTTTTTTGTGTATTTTTGGGTAAAGCCTGGAAGGAAAGGCAGATTCATTTATTTATATAATTGAGAGCATTTGTGTTTGATTATGTTTATGTGGCTGATGTTTGTCTCTGTATTTGTGTTAATAAGCTCATGTGGGCTGCGCATCTGTATATGCAAGACTTTATAATACAAAAATATCTATCTGTTCATTGCTATTCACCCACTGTCCCATAATGATGATTCTGAATCTGACCTCTTTCATCTGCACCTGTGGACTACAGCCTCAGTCCTCGTCTACAGCTTCAGTCCTGGATCTACACCCTCAGTCCTGGATTCTCAGCCTTAGTCCTGGGTCGACCAGCCTCAGTCCTGGTCTACAGCTTCAGGCCTGAATCTACAGCCTCAGTCCTGGGTCTACAGCCTCAGTCCTGGTCTAGAGCCTCAGTCCTGGTCTAGAGCCTCAGTCCCGCCCCCTATGGACCAGTGGCTCTACTGTATGTGTTTGTTATTATTGCATTTCCTGTGTTGAACTGTTTGATTCTCTGATCTGTTGTTGGTGGATCCACAACTTTGTAAAGTTGAGATGACTGCTGCTATGATTTAGGGCGAGACAAATACATGGAATTGGAATGTCTCTCTCTGGTTACACACACACACACACACACAGACACATTCAGACACACACACACAAAGGACATGATACACTGTTGGCACAGTAACAGCTGTTTGTGAGGAGAACGTCACAATCTCAGACTCCAACTCTCAGTCCTGTGAAAGAAGAGGAGAGAGAGTAGAGAGAAGAGGAGAGAGAGGAAAGGAGACAGAATGGGGGAGAGGAGAGAAGAGAAGAGAGGAGAAGGAGGAGAGGAGAGAAGAGGTGCGAGAGAAGACAGAGGAGAGAGAGAGAGGAGAGGAGAGAGGAGAGAGAGAGGATAAGGAAGAGAGGAAAGAGAGCAGAGAGAGAGGAGAGAGAGAGGATAGGAAAGAGGAGAGAGAGAGGAGAGAGAGAGCAGAGAGAGAGGAGAGAGAGAGAGCAGAGAGAGAGGAGAGAGAGAGAGAGAGAGAGAGGTAAGATGCTGTGATTTGGCCCAGACCAAAATAAGGTCCAGTGGGACTTGTCCAGTGTCCAGTGTCTAGTGTCCAGTGTGATGTCCTTATACGTCCTCCTGCTCTGGATCAGAACCTCATTGCGAGGCCGCTCTATTCCTGCTGTGAAAGCTGATCTGGAATCAGCTCCATCTGACCTAAACTTAGAGCTAAACTTAGAGCTAAACTTACAGCAGTGCGCTCATATAAAAGTGTGTGCGCGCCAACAGACAGCGCGGCACACACGTTCTGATCAGAGCTCCAGCTGAGACATGGTGAGTGGGACCAGGACCGGGACCAGGACCAGGACCAGGACCAGGACCAGGACCAGTAACCGGGAATCGGGACTTAGGGGCTGGGATTTCTTTTTTTCTTTTTCCTTTTTTAAGTGTGTTTTGTGATTCTAGAAAATCTTTGGGGTTTTCTTACAAACTTCAGAGATGTGTCATTTTTATGTTAATTTATTTTTTATTTTTCCCTTTTTTTCTGAACTCTATTTCCCATGTTTAGACCAGAGAGAGACCAGAGAGAGCAGAGAGAGAGAGACCAGAAAGAGACCAGAGAGAGACCAGAGAGACCAGAGAGAGCAGAGAGAGAGAGACCAGAAAGAGACCAGAGAGAGACCAGAGAGAGACCAGAGAGAGACCAGAGAGACTAGAGAGAAAGACCAGAGAGAGACCAGAGAGAATGACCAGAGAGAGACACCAGAGAGAGATAGACCAGATAGAGACCAGAGAGACAGACCAGAGAGAAAGACCAGAGAGAAAGACCAGAGAGAAAGACCAGAGAGAGAGAGACCAGATAAATACCAGAGAGAGACCAGAAAGACAGACCAGAGAGAGACCAGAGAGAAACCAGAGAGGTAGAGCAGAGAAAGAGAGAGAAACTATGTTTTTAAGTGTACTTTGTTTTTTTTGTACAGTATGTGTTTGTTGATTTGTTTTCCCTGCGTTCTCTTCAGGCACCAAAGAAGGCAAAGAGGAGGGCAGCGGCCGGAGAGGGCTCGTCCAACGTCTTTTCCATGTTTGAGCAGAGCCAGATCCAGGAGTACAAAGAGGCAAGTGTTGCTCATTCTGATCCTCTCATACTCCATTTGTCACTTCATATGAGACATCACATTCTTAAACATGAAAGTGAATCATATCAAAAAATTAGAGACAAAACAAACGTGAAAGAATAAATATAGAGGCATTCTTAGTTCTTCTTAAATGAGGAGGCTGGAATTCTGGCCCATTCCTCCCAATTTACTTTTACAAAAACAGACAGGAGAGCACAGACAAACATTATTATTGCTATTATTATTATTATTATTTATGTCATCTATCATTCTTCACACAGTCAGACTATTGTTCGGAGGAAGAATAAGCCTAAACTCTCCGCACCAGAAGGATCAGGGTGAAGTTACTGCAGTGTTCCCAGGGGACAGTTGGAAACAGTTTGAGACAGTTGGGAAATGAGGCTCAGGCGCCTCTCACTGACAGCTGACTCAAATCAAAACACAGACTGGAATTTAAAGCTCAGGAATGTAAAGTCACTGGAATATTGTTATTGTTGGTCAGCCGACTGCTGAGGCCCCTGTGACTCTCTCTGGTCTCTCTCTGGACTCTCTGATTTCTCTCTGGTCTCTCTATGGACTCTCTGGTCCCTCTCTGGTCCCTCTCTGGTCCCTCTCTGGTCCCTCTCTGGTCCCTCTCTGGTCTCTTTGGTGTTTGTCTTGTCTCTTAACTGTATATTGTTGTATTTCAGGCTTTCACAATCATTGACCAGAACAGAGACGGAATCATCAGCAAAGACGATCTTCGCGATGTGCTTGCCTCTATGGGTGAGAGACCAGAGAGAGACCAGGGAGAGACCAGAGAGAGACCAGAGAGAGACCAGAGAGAGACCAGAGAGAGACCAGAGATCAGAAAGCCGAGAGATGCAAGAGGTCTAACCTGTAGTACCATGTTTCAGGTCAGCTGAACACAAAGAACGAGGAGCTGGAGGCCATGATCAAAGAGGCCAGCGGCCCCATCAACTTCACTGTGTTCCTCACAATGTTCGGAGAGAAGCTGAAGGGTACACACACACACACTCACACTCACACACACACACACAAAGGCACAGACACACACACATGCAGACACACACACACACACACACACATACAATGACGGTGTGTAATGTGCAGGTGCTGACCCTGAGGATGTGATCGTGAACGCCTTCAAAGTCCTGGATCCTGAGGGGACAGGAAGCATCAAGAAGGAATTGTACGTCTTTATTTACATTATATTATGTTATTATTCATATTTATCATTTTAAATCATATTCTATTATAGTATCATATGACATTGTATTATTATAATACATTATATAATCATTTATCACTTTCATGTTCATTTTCTCCTCCTCTTCCTCCATAGCCTGGAGGAACTCCTGACCACCCAGTGCGACCGGTTCACCAAGGACGAGGTAATAAAGCAGGACTGCAGCAGGTCTAGAGCAGGACTAAAGCAGGACTTGACCTGTGACCTCTGATATAAATGTGTCTCTTCTTCAGATCAAGAACATGTGGCAGGCCTTCCCCCCTGATGTTGCTGGTAACGTAGACTACAAGAACATCTGCTACGTCATCACACACGGAGAGGAGAAGGAGGAGTAACCCCGCCATGACCCCGCCATTACCCTGCCCTAGACCCGCCCCTCACCCACCCTGGCCCCGCCCCTCACGCTGCCCCTCCCCCCTCCTGAGGACTTCATTCCACATTTCTGAAGATGTTCTTTGAGGAGGAGCAGCGCGACGAGCCGAGCGCCAGCCCTGCCTTCCTCTGTACGAACTAAGTACCAACAAAACCCACAACTGTGAATAAAGATCTTTTTGTACAAAGGGACTGAGTCTGGTCTTCTTTGTCTCACAGGTACAGTACATGTCTCACACACAGGTACATGTCTCACAGGTACAGTACATGTCTCACACACAGGTACATGTCTCACAGGTACAGTACATGTCTCACACACAGGTACATGTCTCACAGGTACAACACCCAAACACTATACATCGTCCTAAAACCACTCACCTCTCCATCCTCCTCCCCTGCTTTCCCCTTCTCCTCTCATATCCAAACCCTAAGATGCACCGTCTAGTTAGAGGAGAGACCCAGGCCCTGTCCTAAACCTCCTGGGCCAATCTCTTAGTGATAGCCAATGAAGGCGAGTGCCACCAATACCACCCCGGGCTGGTGGGGGTGGACCCCGAAGGAGAAATATCCACGGGTTTTGTATTGCATCTTCTTTTGTCTCGAAACCGGCTTTACAGGATGGTCCAAAAGTGGCTCTTGGTTTCAGATGGGTGTTTATGCTGAGGGGGTATATTATTTTGGACCACTCTAATTTAGCATTTGGGGACTTCAGAAGGTACTCGTTAAATTAATTAGGCTGGTGTCGGCTATAACGCATACGCAAATGTGTTTTTTCACATTTTCCTGTGGGAGGGGCTGCCCGCTGCCATTTTGAAAAAGGCCCATAGAAGCCAACAGTGATGGCACATTAGATTTACAGTCTATTATTATACGGCTCCTCACAGCAGCAGTAGAATGCTCCATTGATTTGAATGTAATTTCAAAAAGTTCTACCGGTCATTATTTTTTATAACGGACCTCTCAAAACAATAATGACCGCTGCCCATGGCAACGCACTTTCTGCTTGTCTTTCAAATGCGTGGAAAACTCCGCAAGTACAAAAGACAATATATATGGAGATACCATGACGAGGCTTTTATTATAGTAAAGAGCTGCAACTTCCATTCATCTATATTATTCTCGCAACAGCATTAAAGTTACATAGGTACCTATTTTTATTTTTTCTATTTTCTAGAGGAATAAGAGTTAGCTAGACCTCTAGGTCTACTCACATTTTTGATTTTCTTACCGTTCTGTAACCTGTGATACAATACTGAACACTCCCCGTTTGTGGTGAATAAATTATCTCAACGATAAAGTCGTTCAACTATTTATTATGCATTCACAATAAAACACCCCTTTTATCAACACATTCAACAGAAAAGAGTTCCATGTCCTCAATCCGAGAGAAGACAAACTTGAAGGGCTCCAAGATGTTCTCATGCTCCTCACTGTCCGGTGTTCTGTCGAGACTGGCTGTCTGGCAGGCTAGGATTGAGCAAAGAAGGAAGTTGTGGTACAGGCGTGCGAAGTCTTCTACCCATAAGTAGTTGTGCTGGACTGTATCCATTTGCTAACGGTGTAGCTCTGTATGCTAAAAGTGCAAGATATGGATCTTTCGCTTTTTTGAGTAACTTTTTAACAGTTTGGACATGACGTTCTGCCTCACCATTGCTCTGTGCAAACCTAGGGCTGCTTGTAATGTGCTAGAAATCATAGACTGCTGAAAAGTCTTTAAACTCTTGACTCGAGAACTGGGGCCCATTATCGCTATAGAAACGCTCGGGAATGCCATGCCTTGAAAATATTGATTTCAGATGAACAATGACATTTTCTGACCTTGTAGGAGTAAGTTTAGCTATTTCCACAAATCTAGAATAATAATCCACCACTAGAAGATAGTTACTACTGTTTAAAGTAAAGAGATCTGCTGCGACTTCTTGCCATGGTCTTTCAGGAAGCTCTCTGGCCAATAATGGCTCCACTGGATTTGTACGCTCTTTAATGCATATTGTGCAGTTTTTCACAAGCTCATTAACTTGGCTACTCAGACCAGGCCACCAAACAGTCTCTCTAGATCGCTCTCTACACCTGGACATACCCTGATGTCCCTCATGTAAGGCTTCTAGGACTGCATTGCGCATAGTAACTGGAATTACTAGTCCGCACCCTTTCAACAACAGCTGTATGTGTACTGTTAACGTATCTCTGTGTGGCCAATATGCTTTAAGTGGACCTGTAAGATGGCTGTAGTCTGGCCAGCCTCTCTGACAGAATGTCATTACTTCTGAACAAATGCTGTCTGATCTCAAGTGTTCTTTGAGTTGCGCTATATACGTAGAGCTTGCCGGAAGACTGTTCACTATTGCATCCACATAGATGTCTGTGCCCGATAACAGTTCTGCTGTGGCTTTTGTGTCCCTGTCCTGATTGACAGGCGCTCGAGACAGTGTATCTGCAGTAAAGAGAGCTTTACCTGGTGTATGTGAAATAGAGTAGCTGTACCTCATAAGTCTCAGTCGAAACCGTTGGATCCTTGGTGGAAGTTTGGTTAAAGCTTGTTGACCTAGCAGGTGGCTTATGATCAGTCTCTAAGGAGAAGTGTCTCCCGATGAGAAAGTCTCTGAATCTTTCACATCCCCACGTTAATCCCAGTGCTTCTTTTTCCACCTGCGCACATCTACGCTACAGGCCTCCACTGCTCATCCTCCTTTTGAAACAGAACTGCTCCCAGTCCATAGGAAGAGGCATCTGCAGATAACTTCAGATCTTTGTTAGGATCATACAGCGTTAGAGCCGGTGTTGAAGTGAGGTCATTTTTAAGATGATCAAATGCTTGCTGCTGTGCACTTCCCCAAAACCATTGGTTTTTCTTCGATAAAAGATTCCTGAGGGGCTTGTCTTTCTCAGCCAGGCCTGGAACTTTCCCAGCTGGTTTACCATCCCAAGGAAGCTTCGTACCTCACTGATGTTGGAAGGCTCTTTCATTGCCTTGACAGCGCTAACTTTATCTGGATCAGGTTGAACTGCAGACAAAATGTGTCCAAGGAACTTCACCTCTTGTTTGCTCAGGTCACATTTACTCATGTTTAGTGTGACACCGGCCTCCTGCAGCTTATTGAGCACCGTGTGGAGTCTGGTGTTGTGCTGCTCCTCATCCTGTCCCCAAATCAGAATGTCATTCATGTGACAAACCACGCCCGGAAGCCGATTGAGAATCATGGACATTCTCCGCTGAAAATGCTCCGGGGCTGAGGCTATTTCGAACGGGAGTCTGTTGAAATGAAAACGGCCAAAAGGAGTAATAAAAGTAGTATAAGGTGCTGACTCGGGTGACAATGGAACCTGCCAAAAGCCACTGTTTGCATCCAATTTACTGAACACTTTCGCTCCGGCGAGTGATCCAAGTGTCTGCTCAACTGAAGGCAATATGTACTTTTCTCTGCACACTGCTTCATTGAGATGAGTGAGATCAACACAAATGCACCATTCAGTTGGCTCCTCAACTTTGCTGATCACTCCCATGGACTCCATGTTTTCTAGTTCAGCTTTCACTTTTCCCAACAAAGGAATGGGGACTCGTTGCGGTGTTGCCAAGGAAAAAGGTACAACATTAGGTCTCAATTTGATAGAGTACGGTTGCTGCATCAAACCCAGCCCTTTGCACAACTTTGGATAAGTCTCATTAAGTACCTTCATGTCTATGCTGTCTGCTCTAGACACAAGATTTAGCTTCACACTCGCTGGTCTACTTAACAGTGCTATGTGTAAATCTTTGATCACATACACATTCTCTTGTATTTCTTGATCCCCTTTACACAATGTTTCACATGACATACCAATTACACTGAGTGGAGAACCACCTGGCCCAAATAATGGTCTATCTGGTGTGAATAACTCAGTTTCGTTTTGGACAATCGAAAAGAACATCTCGGCTGGAATAACAGATACATCAGCTCCAGTGTCAATCTTGAATCTGACTTTGTGATTTCGGATCGTTAAATCTGTATACCAGGGATCTGTACCTGCATCTACAGAACCAAGAAACATTGGTGTATTGTTACATTTGTCAGTTTCAACCACATGCACAGATTTAGCAGATTTACAAACTTTGCTGTAATGTCCCCTTTTCCCACATGAGTGACAGGTTGCATCTTTTTCTGGGCACTGTCCTTTTCCATGTGCTGGATTTTTTCCACATCTGTAGCATTGACGGTCGTTTGGCACTTTAAACTTTGAAGATGGCTTTGCTTGACTTTGAAGCTTGTAAGTTGTATGCACGTGTTTCTTACTTTTCACAGACACTGCATCTATTTCCATCTTGTTTTCCCCTCTGATGTCAGTTTGTTGCCTTTTTATGACTTCTGATTGTCGAGCCATGTTAACCGCTTTTTCCAGGGTCAAATCTTTGTCCATTTGTAGTCTCTCAGCCAAGCTGGTGTCTCTCAAACCCACTACAAGACGATCTCTTAACAACTCGTCATGCAGTGCACCATAGTTGCAGTTTTCAGCCAGGGCATAGAGCGCAGTTATAAAGAAGTCAACGGTCTCATTAGGTTGCTGCACTCTCTGATTAAATCTCGCTCTTTCATAGATAATGTTCTTTCTGGGCACAAAATAAGTGTCCAACATCTCTTTGACTGGCTGGTATCGCTGTCTTTGCGTGTCTGTTAGAGCTTGACCTTGTAAAATGTCGTCCGCTTCATCACCCATGCAGTAGACGAGCGTGTTAGCTTGATTAGCTTCTGAGCTAAGATGCAGATTGCTCGCTAACCTGAATCTCTCAAACCTGCGAATCCACTTTTCCCATTGTTGTGGTTTGGAGAAATCAAATGGTTCAGGAGGTTGGATGGTGAATGTGGCGTTTGGAGGTGTATTATTTGCCTGTTGCTGGGGCAGTGGCTGAGGCTGCTGCACACCATGCGCGCTAGCATCGGCTCCGGTCGACATCTTTCTTTTCCCGTCTCGGAGTCAACTCAGTCTTCACTCCCAGAACTTCACTTTCACTCTCCGCCGCATATGCTCTCACTGCCGCTCCACTTCTGACACCATGTCGTAATATAGATTTTAAGG